GTTGGGCATTCGCTGCCGTGAGTTCACGGGTGACATGCATCTTACCAAGTCGGAGATTGTACAAACCCAAATCATCGTCACGACCCCTGAGAAGTGGGATGTTGTGACGAGAAAGGGCACCGGAGACACGGAGCTCGTGCAAAAGGTCCGCTTGCTTATCATCGATGAGGTGCACATGCTTCACGACGAGAGAGGTGCTGTTCTGGAATCCTTGGTGGCGAGAACGGCGCGTCAGGTCGAAAGCACGCAGTCTCTCATCCGCATCGTTGGATTGAGTGCCACGCTCCCTAATTACGTTGATGTGGCGGACTTCTTGAACGTCAACAAGTACGCTGGTCTCTTCTACTTTGACGCCTCCTTTAGACCAGTCCCGCTTGAGCAGCACTTCATTGGAGTCAAGGGCAAACCGAACTCCAAGCAGTCTAGGGAGAACCTAGACCAGGTAGCCTTCGAAAAGGTCAGGGACATGCTCGAGTGTGGCCACCAAGTCATGGTCTTCGTCCACTCGAGAAAGGACACGCAAGCCACGGCCAAGATGCTCTTCGAAAAGGCTACGGATGAGGCTTGCACCGACCTCTTTGATCCCAGCTACCATGAGAAGTACGAGGCTGCCATGAGGGACGTCAAACAGACCAAGGCTCGGGAGATCCGGGAACTCATCCCAAAGGGCTTGGGCATTCACCATGCCGGCATGTCTCGAGCAGACAGGAACCTCATGGAGCGGTTGTTTGCCGAGGGTGTCATCAAGGTCCTCTGCTGTACGGCCACTCTGGCTTGGGGTGTCAACTTGCCCGCTGCCGCCGTCGTCATCAAGGGCACCCAGGTGTACAGCGCCCAGGATGGTAAGTTCGTTGATTTGGGCATTCTCGACGTCTTGCAGATCTTCGGTCGTGCCGGTCGTCCTCAATTCGAGGACACTGGTATCGGCATGATTTGTACTACGCACGACAAGCTCGCACACTACCTCACTGCCATTACGGATCAGCTACCTATCGAATCCAGGTTTTCGGCCAAGCTGGTCGATAACTTGAATGCCGAGATTGCTCTGGGCACTGTCACCTCGATTCCGGAGGCCGTCAAGTGGATCAGTTATTCGTACCTCTTCGTACGCATGAAACGGAATCCCATGGCCTACGGTATCGACTGGTCCGAGTACGACAATGACCGCTCGCTGGTACAGAGGCGACGGCAACTGGCGATCCAGGCTGCCAGGACACTGCAGCAGAGCCAGATGATCATCTTCAACGAGGCGACCGAAGAGCTCCGTAGTAAGGATATCGGTCGGATTGCCAGTCAGTTTTACATCCAGCACTCTAGTATCCAGATCTTCAACTCCATGATGCGGCCTTCCTCAACCGAGGAGGATATTCTGAAGATGATTGCCATGAGTGGCGAATTCGACAACATCCAGTCTAGGAACGAGGAAGCGAATGAACTGATGGCAATGAAGCATGACGAGAGATTCGTGCCTTACAAAGTCAGCACCGGTATTGATCAGCCGCATACGAAGACCAATATCTTGCTGCAAGCCTACATCTCCAGAGCGCAACCGCAGGATTTCGCTCTGACGAACGACCTCAACTATGTCGCCCAGCAAGCTGGACGTATCTGCAGAGCGCTCTTCATGATTGCTCTGAACCGGCGATGGGGTCACCAGTGTCTGGTCCTGTTGACCATGGCCAAGTCCATCGAGAAGCGCATCTGGGCTTTTCAGCATCCCTTCCATCAGTTTGACCGTGATCTGTCCAAGCCAGTGCTCAACAAGCTCGACGAACTGGAGGCCCTCAACATTGAGTCAATGAGGGAGATGGAACCAGCCGAGATCGGCAGCTTGGTCAACAACCATGGTATGGGCGGGAAGATCGCCAGGCTACTTAACAACTTCCCGACTCTCAGCGTCGAGGCTGAGATCGCGCCGCTGAATAGGGATGTGTTGAGGATCAAGCTCTACGTTACTCCGGATTTCCGCTGGAACGACCATCTGCATGGAACTTCCGAGTCGTACTATATCTGGGTAGAGAACTCGGAGACGTCGGAGATCTACCATCACGAGTTCTTCCTTCTTAACAGAAGGAAGCTTCACGATGACCATGAACTCAACTTTACCATTCCGCTTTCCGATCCGATGCCAAATCAGATCTACGTGAGAGCGGTCTCGGACCGGTGGTTGGGCGCTGAGACGGTAACGGCTGTGTCCTTTCAGCACCTTATCCGCCCAGACACGGAAAGCGTTTACACCGATCTGCTGAACCTGCAACCTCTCCCCATCTCGGCGTTGAAGAACCCGGCCCTGGAAGAGCTCTACGCCCAGCGCTTCCAGTACTTCAACCCGATGCAAACCCAGGTCTTCCACACTCTGTATCACACTCCCGCCAATGTCCTTCTGGGCTCGCCGACGGGCAGTGGCAAGACGGTTGCTGCCGAGCTGGCCATGTGGTGGGCGTTCCGCGAGCGGCCCGGCTCCAAGGTGGTCTACATTGCGCCCATGAAGGCGCTCGTCCGCGAGCGTGTCAAGGACTGGGGTGCCCGTCTCGCCAACCCCCTCGGGCTGAAGCTGGTCGAGTTGACGGGTGACAACACGCCTGACACGCGCACGATCCAGGATGCGGATATCATCATCACCACTCCTGAGAAGTGGGACGGTATCTCGCGTAGTTGGCAGACGAGAGGATACGTGCGCAAGGTCAGCTTGGTCATCATCGACGAGATCCATTTGCTTGCTGGAGACCGTGGCCCCATTCTTGAGATCATCGTCTCCCGTATGAATTATATTGCGTCGTCCACCAAGAACTCGGTTCGATTGCTGGGTATGTCGACGGCTTGCGCCAATGCGACGGACCTGGCGAACTGGCTTGGTGTTAAGGAGGGTCTGTTCAACTTCCGGCACTCGGTGCGTCCCGTCCCGCTGGAGCTGTATATCGATGGCTTCCCTGAGGTCAGAGGGTTCTGCCCCTTGATGCAGTCGATGAATCGGCCTACGTTCTTGGCTATCTTGAACCACAGCCCCGAGAAACCAGTCATTGTGTTCGTGCCGTCTCGTCGGCAAACCCGCTTGACGGCCAAAGATCTCATCAACTTCTGTGGTATGGAGGATAACCCTAGACGGTTCCTCCACATGGATGAGGATGATCTCCAGCTGAATCTTTCACGCGTCAAGGATGACGCACTGAAGGAAGCCATCAGCTTCGGCATCGGTCTCCATCACGCCGGTTTGGTTGAGTCTGACAGGCAGATTGCTGAAGAGCTCTTTTTGAACAACAAGATCCAAATCCTCGTAGCTACGAGTACCCTGGCTTGGGGTGTCAACCTTCCAGCACATCTTGTCGTCGTCAAGGGCACGCAGTTCTACGACGCCAAGATCGAGGCCTACAAGGACATGGACCTAACAGACGTGCTCCAAATGCTCGGTCGAGCAGGACGCCCGCAATTCGACAACTCGGGCGTAGCCCGCATCTTCACCCAAGACGCCAAGAAGGATTTCTACAAGCACTTCCTACACACCGGCTTCCCCGTCGAGTCCTCTCTGCACACGGTCCTCGACAACCATTTGTGCGCCGAAGTCTCAGCCGAGACCATCGTCACCAAGCAAGACGCGCTCGACTACCTGACCTGGACCTTCTTCTTCCGGCGTCTGCACAAAAACCCATCCTACTACGGCCTCGAGATCTCCGCCGAGGAACACTCGTCCACCATGGCCCAGCAGCTCGCCAACGACTACATGATCCAAATGGTCGACCACTCGCTCTCCGAGCTCGCCGAATCAAGTTGTGTTGAAGTCTTCCCCAACGGCGACGTCGACCCGACCCCAATGGGCAAAATCATGTCCTACTACTACCTCTCGCACAAGACCATCCGGCACCTGGTCCGCAAAGCCCGCGCCTCCGCCACCTTCCTCGAGGCACTTTCCTGGATGTCCCGCGCCTCCGAGTACGACGAGCTGCCCGTCCGTCACAACGAGGACTTGATCAACGCCGAGCTTGCAAAGGCCTTGCCCTTCCCTACCAGCGCCTTCGACGGCTTGCCGATGTGGGACCCTCACGTCAAAGCCTTCTTGCTTCTCCAAGCGCACATGGCCCGCGTCGAACCCCTGCCTATCACCGATTACGTCGGCGACCAGACCAGTGTCCTGGACCAGGCGGTGCGCATCATCCAAGCCTCCGTAGACGTCATGACGGAGCTAGGGCACCTGAGCAGTATGCTCCAATTCGTCAAACTCCTGCAATGCGTGAAACAAGCTCGTTGGCCTGAGGACCCTCCTCTATCCATCTTCCCTGGTTTTGATCAGGGAGAAGCCGACAGATGCAAATCGGAAATGACCCTAACCCAACTAAGCAAATCCACCAACCTCCGCAACCAAAACCAAAACCAATACCCCCTCCTCCAAAAACTTGCCCGCGACGAACTTCACTTGGCTCCAGCACAAGCCACCCGCTTCGCCAAAGCCGCCCAAGCCATCCCCGACGTTCATGTCGCGGTCGAAAACGTCAAGCACGGCGAGCTGACGGTCATCCTGAAACGGCTGAACCCCATCACGGAGCGCGAGGGGAGGATTTACGCTCCCAAGTTCCCGAAGCCGCAGACGGAGGGGTGGTTTGTTGTGGTGGCGGACGTGAAGAGGGATGAAGTTGTTGCTGTTAAGAGGGTTAGTTGGAGTAGCCCTGGGAGGAGACAACAACAACAACAAGAGCAGCAGAATCAGAATCAGAATCAGAATGGAAATGGGAAGAAGACGAATGGGATTGAAGTGGGCATGAGGCCGAGTGCTAGGGCGGTTATGAGACTGCCACCTGTGTTGAAGGGCAGGAAGCTGAATGTGTTGGTGGTTAGTGATGGGTATATTGGGATGGAGTATAGGGTTGAGGGGGTGGAAGTTCCGGGGCCGCCGGCGCCGGAGGGGGATGAGGATCTGGATAAGAAGGGGAAGGGGATGGGTGGCAACGGGAAGAGGGGAGAGCAGGGGCAGGAGGGGGGGAAGTGGGGGGAGAGTTCGAAGTGAGTAGGTAGGTAGTATGGCCAGTGGTGGCGTTGTACCTACTCGTGCCATAGTCAGACATCATCAGTGGTCGCTAGAGAGAATCATGTATCAGCGATTATGATGTTTCGACTTCAAATTCTATATCAAACTGTTTGGTATCATATAATCCATATATCTCATCCACAGCCCGTTCGCAATCCATTCCAAGACCCATCACCCCCTATTCAACGTATTCCCACTACCCTTGGGATTCGCCTCCACAAACTCATCCCACGCCCTCGCCTTCATCGTCTCCGCATCCAGCTTCTCATGATCATCCTCATCATTCGGATCCTTCTCTCCCGCCTTCCAACTCGCCTCTCCGCCTCCCTCAATGATCCCGCCCCGCCTCCTTTCCTCCTCCAAGTACTCATCGATCGACATAGTCGGCAGATTATGGCCCGGCCTAAACACCCCCTTGGCAATCTCCTGCCTCGTCCCCGTCAGCGTAAACGGCCGCAACGGCCTGCCCTCCTTGGACAAAAGCGGTCCGCTCCCACCCAGTATCCCCTGCAGCCGACTAAACGGCATATCGAGCTTGTCGCTGTAGTCACGCGAATCCGCGCCTCCTCCTTGTCGTCGCCGTAGATCGTCTTGCGCGCCCGCGTCTCCTGCCTGGTTGTTTCGTAGTTGCGCCGACGGTAACGAGGCAGGCTCGCGCGGAGCCATGTTGAGCACCTCCAGCTCGCGGTTGAGGCTTTCAAGCGCTTGGAAGGTCAGGTGTGTGCACAGATCGAGGTGGGCGAGGTGGACGGAGCGGACGACTTCCTCGTCGCCTGTGCTTCCTCCTCCTCCTCCTCCTCTCTGATTTGTTGACTCGTCATCGTCCAGCTCGAGGTCGGCGGCGGCATACGCGGGTCGTTGTCGCAGGTAGGCGAGTTTCTGGCGCAGCTCCTTCTCGGCCTTGAAGTTGGCGATCTTGGCGTTGCGACGGGCGTTCGGGTCCGAGGCGGACGAGCCGGCGACGCTGAACTCGGTCGGGCTGTCGGTGTAACGCTCGAGAAGCTTCTTGTAGGTCGGGTTCAGGAGCCCTTCGTAGCTGTCGAGCAGGTGGAGGTAGCGCTCGTAGGCTTCGCGGGCCTGGGCGAGGAGGCGCTTCCGTTCTGTGGGGTCGGGAGTGGGCGAGGGGATCTTTTGGATGAGCTCGGCGAGGTGGTAGTTGACGAGCAGGTAGGGGAGGTCGTTGGTGTTGAGGTCTTCGAGTCCTTCGTTGGAGCTGAAGAGGGAGAGGGCGCTGATCTGGGAGAGGCAGGATTGGTAGAGCTTGATGGCGGCGGAGAGGGTGTCGGCGTAGTCGGAGGGACTGGGTGGCGAGTTCTCGAGCGAGAGGCGCTTGTCCTCGGCGGCGGCGAAGGTGGCCTTGAGAGACCTCGGTTCTTGGTCGCTCATTGTGGGATCTATTGGTCACTTCGGAAGGAAGGTAGAGGTTTAGTCAGAGAGAATGGGTGAATGTCGGCGCAACTAAGTGAAGAACTATATGTGGTGATGTCTGGTTGCTGTTGCGTTTGTTGGAGGGGAACTGGAGATTTCGTGGGCTGGATGGAGATGACAACTTGTGAGCTTCAGTGGAGGTTTGGTTGGAGTTGGGGAACAATTGACACCAATGCGGGGCATGTCAATTGCAAGTGACCATACCCCTGTCCGTTTGCCCCGCTCTGATCCTCGCTCCGGGATCGACAGCACCATGATCCCGTCTCCCACCAGCATGTTTAGATGTTGTTCTATACTCCCAGCAGTCACGCCAGAGGAAGTTCTACGGTCTATTTTTTCTCAAGAGACTCTATGTTTTACATATAAAAGTTGAAACGCAAATGTGGTAGTAACCACAATGGGATTGTCCTCGTTTCGAGTGTTCGATGGTTGGCTAAAAAGGGTTAGTGTGGAGTCGATATGACGGCACGTGTCGGCTTCCAGTGACTGATGGCATGTTCTCGGTCTCTTCTGCCGCCCGTTTCCGTTCTCGATTCTTCCACTTTGGCTCTTCCGTCTACGTACAGACCGGACGGTAGAGTGGTACCACTATAACCTCAAGCTTGACTTGTCTTGCCAATGCGAACAATTTGTCGTCGCCTCTTCTCCGTCTCTGCCGTCACCCTTTGTCCGAAGCGTTTGAACCCCCGTATTGCTACCTTTACAACCAAGACAATGGCGCTCCATCCGGCTCAAGATGGCGCAAAGCTCATCTGTAAGTAGGAACTGGAATGTGAATGGTCCAAGAGCTAACTCGGTGGCCTCCAGTTGCCCCCGCCGGTACTCTGGCCGACCCGTCCGTCCCCGGCCAAGCTGCTCAGTTCCTCAAGGCCGAGACCCGTGGAGGCTTGCGACGCTCCGATCTTGACCCCGAAAGTCCCATTGCCCAATTCCACACATGGTTCACCGACGCTTCCCAACCCGAAACGGGAATTTCTCACCCCGAAACCTGCACGCTTTCAACTGCGCAGTTGCCCTCTGGCCGCGTCTCTGCGCGCATGGTGTACCTGAAGGAGCTGGACCCAAAGGGTTTTGTCATTTACAGCAACTTTGGCACCAGTGGGAAGGCGCGGGACTTGTTTGGCAGCGAGGATGGATCCAGCACCGGTAACCCATGGGCTTCTCTGGTGTTCTGGTGGGAGCCGTTGGAGAGGCAGGTCCGGGTTGAGGGAAGAGCGGAACGCTTGACGACAGAAGAGAGCCAGGCCTACTTTGACACAAGAGTTCGTGGCAGTCGTCTTGGCGCCTGGTCAAGCAAACAAAGTGCTGTCCTCCTTCCCGACCCTGCGAACCCCGACGATGACGGACGAACACAGCTGGAAAAGTGGGTCAAGGAGTCGGAGCAGCGCTTTGAAGGCGAGGAGAACATTCCCGTCCCGGAGTTCTGGGGAGGCTTGAGGATCGTTCCTGAACGGGTCGAGTTCTGGCAAGGAAGGCAAAACCGGCTACACGATCGGTTTGTGTACGACCGCGTCCGTCAAGATGGTGGAGGTGAAGACAAGTGGACTTTGGAGAGGCTGAGTCCATAAGTTTGCTTAACAACTTTGACACAAAATGATGGCCGAACAAACTCCCCACCAACAGCAAGATGCTAGCGTCATGTTCGACCAGCTATAATGAGTCGAAGCGATGGGAATGGGGTCGTTTTTATCTGACTTGTGGCAGTAGTGTAACCTTTCTGGCTTCATCTCGTCTTTCCCGAGTGTTTGTATAAAAGCGGGGTCCGAGCTTTTGCACCTGCCTGAACCTCACAGCTTCGTTCTTCCCCACGGCATTCACTCACTCACAAACAGTCCAAACTGTCATCGCGTGTTTCCTTCTATTCTCTATAACTTCCTGTTTTCTCGCGGCCTCCGCTTCCACATTTCTATTTCTTCTCCCACTCAACCATTTCTCGCTTCGATCGAGGCTTGACGAACCCAAGTGGAGAGGGTCCAATACTTGCTGCATCTCCCCCACGTCTTGGACCTGTTCCAGCTGTTTATTCTTCGTTTTCGGTCAATAACTTCGACCTCTCATTCCAGACAGCACTCTATCACTTCCGGCTTGACCCACGCGCTCTTTTACGGAATTGTCACCGAGCTTTCATCACGCAACAAGAAGGAAAAGAACGACAGTCCGTCACCATGGCGGTGGCTACTCCGCTACCCTTCATCCCACCGGAGGCGACTAGCCAGATAATCGGCGGCGATGAAGATTTGATAGATCTCTTTCATGAAGATGTGGCCTCCGAACACGACGACAGAGGGAACGCCTCTGATGTCGAGAGCGAGGACGGCGTCAAAAGATGGACAGTGAATCCGGAACCCAAGCCCAAGAAGATTTCGGCCAAGAAGCTTGCCGACAATGCTGCTTTCAACTCGTGGATCGAGGAGCACCAGGAAACTTTGGCAAGGGACCAAAGGAAGGCGGCGATAGAAGCGTCAAGGTTGACCGGCGTGGACGTGTTGCCCGCTATTGGCTTTGATAGCGAAATAATCATCACTTCACCACGAGAATACCAGGTGGAGCTTTTTGAACGCGCAAAGCTACAAAACACGATTGCCGTCTTGGATACGGGTAAGTTAGTCATGCTCTGCCAACTGGGAATCCCTTTTCTGACTTGTTCAAACTCTGTGTAGGCTCGGGGAAGACTCTGATTGCCGCCATGTTGTTACGCTGGGTCATTAATGGTGAGCTCGAGGACCGAGAAAAGGGACTGCCGAGACGTATTGCTTTCTTTCTGGTCGACAAGGTAGCCCTGGTGTTTCAACAACACAGCTTTCTTACCAAGAACCTCGACTTCCCAATGGAGAAACTCTGCGGTGAGATGGTGGAGGGTGTCGAGTCAAAAGCCTTCTGGAAGGAAGCATTGGAGCAAAACGAAGTGGTCGTCTGTACAGCTGAGATTCTCAACACAGCGCTCCATCATTCCTGGATTAGAATGGACCAGATCAGCCTCTTGATCTTCGACGAAGCCCATCACACCAAAAAGGATCATCCCTATGCTCGCATCATCAAGAACTTTTACATCGATGAGAAGCTCGAGAGAAAACCCAGGATCCTTGGCTTGACGGCCTCTCCGGTCGATGCCAAAACCGACCCAAGACGGGCTGCGCAACAATTGGAGGTCTTACTTCACAGTCAAATAGCCACAGCCGCCGACCCGGCCGCCCTTCAGCATACTATTTGCAAACCCAAGACCGAGTTGATCGTTGAATACGCCCGTGGTCGACCGAACTCGGAGACAGTCCTCAACAAGCAACTACGCAAACTTGTTGGGGGACAAGAGCTGTTCAAGAAGCCGCTCAACTTTACTACCTCGGAGGCATCCAAGTTGGGAGCATGGTGTGCTGACCGATATTGGCAACTTTTCTTCAAACAAGAGGATATAGTCAAGTTGGAATCACGCACTGAGAGAGATCTCATGAAAGTCTCGGCCCTCGACGAAATCACCGAAAGGCACGTCAAGCACGTCCGTGAAGCACATGAGTTGGTCAACGCGCATACATTTTCACCCGCTGCTCTCGATCCGACGATGTTATCGTCCAAGGTTATCATGCTTGTTAGAATCTTGCGTGACCAGTTCGAGAGGGGTGTGGGCACCCAAAGATGCATCGTCTTTGTCCGACAACGGAACACGGCCATGCTATTGGCGGATTTGCTTCAGCAGCCCGAGATAAAGTCTCACATACCCAGCATTGCAGCAGAAGTCCTGGTTGGGGGTGGGACAACTGGCTCAAGCTATGTCAACGCCAAGGTCAACTTCCAGCAACAGAACAGAATAATTCGAAAGTTCAAGCTTGGTGAGATAAACTGCCTATTTGCAACTTCCGTTGCCGAGGAAGGTCTCGATATTCCGGATTGCAATATCGTCATCAGATTCGACCTTTATGATACTCTGATCCAGTGTATCCAGTCGCGTGGTCGAGCTCGCCGTCCAGATTCTCGCTACATCCAGATGATCGAGAAAGGGAATTACGAGCACCACAGCAAGATATTGCAAGCTAAAGGGGCTGAAGATGTCTTGCGCAAGTTCTGCGAGGCTCTACCCGAAGACAGGAAGCTAACTGGCAACCACATGAACCTGGACTATCTCCTCCGGAAGGAAAAGGGCAAGAGGCAGTACACTGTCCCAGATACTGGTGCGAAACTCAGCTATATGCAAAGCCTCGTCTGTCTCGCCAATTTCACCGCCACCCTACCACACCCACCGGAGACGAGCTTGAATCCGGAATACTACATCACCACTGTTCCTGGCGGCTTTCAGTGCGAAGTTGTAATGCCCGACGCATCACCTATCAAGAATGCGGTTGGCAAAATACATACAAGCAAGGGGGCGGCCAAATGTGCAGCTGCATTCGAGCTCTGTCTTGCTTTAATCAAGGCTAGACATTTGGATAACCACCTCCAGTCTGTGTTTACCAAGCAGCTTCCAGAAATGCGAAATGCTCGCCTTGCTGTCAGCTCAAAGAAGAAGAGGGAGTACGCCATGCGTCTGAAGCCCGAATTATGGTCGATCCGGGGCGAGGTCACCCAGCTTTATGCCACTGCGTTTGTTCTGGAAAACCCAGATGCCCTTGGGCGTAGCTCTCGTCCGCTTCTCCTGCTGAGTAGAAGCGCTCTCCCAGAAGTGGCGTCTTTTCCGCTCTTTTTCGGCACCAAGCGCTTTTCCAAAGTCCGCTGCGTGCCTATCCCAGGTTCTGTCCAGGCTGAAGATACGTTGGTGGAGGAACTTACTCGTTTCACTCTGAAAGCTTTTATGGATGTTTTCAGCAAGGAATACGAGGCTACAGCAGTCGACCTTCCGTACTTTCTCTCGCCGATGGACGGAGGTCACGGGTTTGACTTCCGCTTGGCCAAGAGCCCAGCCGATCTCATTGACCGAAAGACGCTAGCATACGTCAGTGAGAACGAGAAGGTGCCATACACTTTTCTTGAGCCAGATGACTTTTTCCAAGACAAGTTTATCGTTGACCCATACGACGGAGCACGGAAGTTCTTTACTCGTCACCGTCGCCATGACATGAAACCCACGGATCCCGTGCCAGATGGCATTGTTGCACCGAGTCACAGAGCTTGGAAAGGCTTAGGCACCACACATGACATTCTGAACTACAGCAATAGCCTGTGGTCAAAGTCGCGTGGTTTTATGGTATTCCAAGCGGATCAGCCTGTCGTGGAGGCTGGGCTTATTTCCACCCGTCGAGACTTTCTGGACGATGCCATCCGAGATGAGGATTTGGAACCGCAGCAGTGCTTCCTAGTTCTTGAACCCATGAGGATCTCACCTGTAAGTGTGTCCACCTTCGAAGAAAAGAATGATTCTAATATGTCATATATAGTTGCCGGCAGATGTAACGGCAATGCTTTTCTGCTTCCCATCAATCATACACCGGGTAGAGTCCAATCTAGTTGCGTTGGACGCCTGCAAGCTTCTGGGTCTAGACCTGCGTCCGGACCTGGCTCTTGAAGCCTTCACCAAGGACAGCGATAACTCGGATGAGCATGATGCCGAGAAGGAAAACTTCCAGACCGGAATGGGTGACAACTACGAGAGACTCGAGTTCCTCGGTGACTCCTTTTTGAAGATGGCAACAACTATGGCCATCTATACATTGATCCCCGACAAGGGCGAATTCGAGTATCACGTCGAGCGTATGCTTCTTATCTGCAACAAGAACTTATTCAATAACGCCCTAGAGGTAGGACTCGAGGAGTATATCCGCTCCATGTCCTTTAACCGGAGACAGTGGTATCCCGAGGGCCTAGTTCTGAAGAAGGGCAAGAGCAAGGCCGCGCGTAAGCGGCATGTCCTGGCCGACAAGTCCATTGCCGATGTTTGCGAGGCCCTCATCGGCGCCGCCTACCTTACCGGCCAAGAGAAGGGAAGCTTCGACATGGCGATCAAGGCCGTAACCGCCATGGTCAAAGACAAGAGGCACCGCATGACCAGCTACGGCGACTACTACGCCGTATATCAAAAGCCCAACTGGCAGACGGAACCAGCCAACAGTACTCAGCGCGACATGGCCAAAAAGTTCTCAGAGCGCATGGGCTACAAATTCAAGCACCCGCGTCTACTGCGCGCAGCCTTCCAGCACCCAACCTACCCCTCCCTCTACGAACGCCTCCCCTCCTATCAGCGCCTCGAATTTCTCGGCGACGCGCTCTTCGACATGGTCGCCGTCGACTACCTCTTCCGCAAGTTTCCCGCCGCCGACCCGCAATGGCTGACGGAGCACAAGATGGCCATGGTGTCCAACCAGTTCCTGTGCTGCCTCTCCTACCACTTAGGGTTCAACAAGTGCATCGCCACCATGTCGCCCTCCATCCCCAAGGACATCGCCGAGTACGTGACCGAGATAGAAGAAGCACTCGAGGCAGCCAAGCAGGAGGCTATCAACGCAGGAAAAACCGCAGACGAGTATAGCCGCGATTACTGGGTGCACATCACGCACGCTTCGCGCTTGCCCAAGTGTTTATCAGATGTGGTGGAGGCTTACATCGGCGCCATCTTTGTCGACAGCGAGTACGATTACTCGGTAGTTCAGCAATTCTTCAACAAGCACGTTTTGCCCTTCTTCGAGGATATGCATCTCTACGACTCCTTCGCCAACAAACATCCCGTTACCTTTGTGGCGAACATGATGGCGCACAAGTTCCGTTGTAACGAGTGGAGGAGTCTGGCCAAGGAGCTGGATACGGATCTTTCGGAAGGAAGAGGAGGAAGAGGTGGTGCAGTGGCTGGTGAGGTTAGTGAGATTAACCCGCCCAAGGTGGTGTCGGCGCTACTTGTTCACGGCAAGACGGTGGCGCATGCGGTGGCGGCCAGTGGACGGTATGCGAAGTCGGCCATGGCGAAGAAGGCTATCAAGCTTTTGGAGGGCATGAGCGTGGAGGAGTTCAGGGAGAGATTGGGGTGTGATTGTAAAGGGGTGCCGATGGAGGTTGATGGTGGAGTGCCGGCGGATGTGGCGGATGGGGAGGTGCATGGGACGGCGTTTTAATGGTTCATTATTTCGGCACGGAAAGGTGCTTAGCGACGACGGTACATGCTCTTATGGGTATGTTAGACTCAGCGACATTGATAGGAAACTGGTTGATGGATATTTAGTGAGGTGCTTGGCCTTACATTTTATGGCTCCTCTACAGATTATTCTTCCAGATGAGCATGACATCTTCGATGGCGGATTACCCAAATTCATAGACGATCGTTAGAGAGCAGGGATAGACAAATCAAGGATTAGATCGATAACTTGCTGCTTATTAGGGCCTTATTTACGGGACTTGCCAACTCGGGAGGATGTTTACGAACCATATGAATTTCAACCGTAACAGCTCTTCACACCTCAACAGGGAAAAGTGCAACTGAATCAGGTAAGGGATGGAGCATCATTTCCAGCAACAATGAAACCAGCAATGTTATTGTTTCCTTCAAGCAAACACGCCTATTCGACCCATGAATGATATGATTTGACTGACTGTAAACCTCTTTTTACCTAGCCCATGCGTAAACTGTATCCATGCGTGTTTCCATGCCTTTACCAACCCAATGCCACCAATGCCACTAGTAATAGAAACAAGAAGAAAACGATAAAGGAAGAGTGAGGCAGGAATAGTAGGAAAGTTCCATGAAGTGTCGACATCCCTGTTCCAGCAGGAGCAATAACAATAATAATAATAAAACAAGGAAGAAGGCAAAGTGAACACACACACAACAACCATTAGCAGGTAGAGAGGAGGAAACGAAATAAAACACAATGCAGGGGAGACAGACAGACAAAACCAGGCGAAAAGACAAAAATGCCAAACCATGGTCCAAACCCGATCAACAAGCGCAAAACTCAAACAGACGAAACCCAGGTAAAAATGCCCCTTTTTCCCTTCCCCTTCCGTTATTGCAATGCTCTCACAAACCAAGCCAAACCAAAGCCAATATGAACCAGGTACCAACCAGCCAGCCATTGAAACAATGCAAGTGAAGTAAAGCATAACGCGAAAAAAGAAAGAAAAGACCGTTCCGTTCCGTAAAATCATGGGTATCATCATGATAGACATGCATGCCTCCATCCATCATCATCTTCTTCCCGCTTTCCCTCCTCTTTCTTTCGGTTAACACAGAACAGAACAGAAATCAAGCACCGACCTCCCGACCTCCCTTTAATGCATGAAAAGGAGAATCAGCCCTCAGCAACACTTCCCCTTCCCACCACCTCTCCTCCCATCCTCACCACCTTGCTCCCCTCCCACATTCACCCCACCACCACCATCACCACTACCGCCGACGCCACCCCCATCCCCTCCTCCTCCAGGCAACATTATCCCCGGCGTCAAAAGCCCCGGCGAAAATAACCAACTCCTCCGATCCCTCCCCACCCGAAACGTCGCTCGCGGGTTCAAATCAAAGTACCCCGACACTCCATTCCCAACAGCACCACCACCGCCGGCACCACCACCTCCTCCAGGACCTCCATAACCAGCACCACCCGGTCCTCCGCCACCCGGCCCTCCTCCCCCTCCTCCTCCTCCTGTTCCTGTACCATCAGGATAATACCCACCAGTCCCCGGCCCAAAGAACCCGCCAGGAGTGAAGACACCTGGGGTGGAAGCGGCGGCGGCCAACAAAGCTTGCTGCATCTTGCGGTTTTGTTCCACCAGCTTGCGTGTAACCACGCGAAAGACTTCTTCTACCCCTTCGCCTGATTCAGCCGAGATCTCGTGGCAGGCGTCCCAGCCGACTTCTTGGCCCCAGAAGCCCGAGGAGCGTTTGCTGGAGGGGGAGCGGGGTTCGGTGGTGCTTTGGAAGCCATGGCCATGGCCATGGGGGTGGTTGCGTAGACGCGGGTGTCTTGGTCCTCCTCCGCCGGTTATTGTTGTTGTGGTGTTGTTGCTTCCTTCACCGACGTTCTGATGGTGGGTTTCTCGTTGGGCGGCATTGTTTGCTTCTCCTCCTCTTAGTCTGATACCGCCTAGTCCTCCTAGACCTGTTATCCCTCCTCCAGATCTTCCTTCTGGTCTTTCTGTTGTTGTTGTTGTTGTTGTTGTTGTTGTTGTTGTTGCTGACGCTGTAGTTCCAGTAGCTGTCGTCGTCGTCGTCGCTCCTGTCCCTGTCCCTGCCCACCCTCCCAAACCACCACTACTTAAATTCATTACCCCTGGGATCCCCGGAATCCCCGGCATTCCCAAAGGCGTAGCAGTAGGTGGCGGTGTCGACCCCACGCCCGGGTTCAGGTTCTCGGCTACGTAGGCGATGCAGCGCTCAAAGGGCACTTCGCGTTTGGAAGGGTCGCGGGCGACGATGTCGGCCTTGGTGCCGACGACGTGCAGGACTATGTCCTGAGGCAGGTTGCGCCGTAGTTCTGTCAGCCACATGCCCATCTCGGCGAAGGAGGCGGCGTCGGTGATGGAGTAGCAGAGGATGCAGGCGTTGGCGCCGCGGTAGTAGAGGCGGGAGATGGAGCGGAATCGTTCTTGGCCGGCTGTTTTTTGGTGTTATGTTCAAGTTAGCCTCTTGTTATTGTTGCTGTTTCCTGTATGGGGAGTGATGGGGATGGATACTACATAGTGAATGAGTGGGGCAAGTTGAAGGAGGAGGACATGGGCATGGATGGAGAGAGGGATCGGGACATATGTATAAATGTAAACAAGTAAATCACCACCATAACATACCAGTATCCCATATCTGCAAGCGCACCACGGTATCGGTATCGGTGTCGATAATGCGCTTGGTCATCATGCTGGCGCCAACGGTCGAGGTGATCTGGGCCGGGTTGAAGGCACCCTTGCAGAAGCGCGTCACCAGGGATGTTTTGCCGACGCCCTGGGAGCCGAGGACGACTATTTTTGCCTCGAGAGAGGACGACATTGTCGTCGTAGGTGGGATTGTTGTCGTGGTTGTTATTTTTGTTTTTGTTGTTTCTGTCCGTTCTCGCGGTAGGTGAAGTATTATGGATTGTCTTGTCGATTTTGTCGTTTGGCCTGTTTGCTTGTCCTTGTTTCGTTCTCGGTATGTAGGTATTATGGATGTCTTATAATCTGTCAATGTCTTTCTTCTCTTCCCCTTCTTTTTCTCCCCTCGATGCCGCAGAGTAATAATGATGGGTAGTTGGAGGAAAGTTGGAGAGTCTCGATGACGGACGGGGAAGGTGGGGGAAAGTAGGTTGTTTGAAACCAAGAAAGGCAGTTGGTTGATGGAACAGGGTAGGCAATGACAAGGGCAATGACAAGAGTCGTTTAGGTTCGTTCGGCCTACATGTAAATTACATGGACCAGAGGTAGAGGTAAGACACTGGATGACGACCTGTGTTGCTTGTTGGAAGATGAAACCGGGCAGAGGGTCGAGCCCAGTCCTCTCAACAGTCTCAGCTTCTTCTTCTTCTTCTTCTTCTTCTTCTTCTTCTTTGCTCTTGCGCTTTCATTTCTAGTCGTAGGTGGCCAAATCCCTCACACACCTCCTCGCGCCTAACCAACTTGCGCCAGCCTTGTTCTTCTTCTCGATGATACGGTGGGTTTCTGTTTCAGAGAACACGTGCAACGCGACAACGAACAACGAAGAGGGGCGACGGAAATGCAGAAAGAAACAAAAACGGGAAGAGGGCACATTTACGATATCGGTACCAGTACCAGTACCATGTAATGTATGTAACTGTCACCCGTCCCGCTGCCGTCCAGTAGGGGACTCTGCAGGGCTCCCAGGGCAATGCACATGCTTCGTCTCAGTAATATATGGTACACCTCTACGTGGTACAGTGGCGCAGCGGCAGGCAGCCAAGAGGCAGTCCTGCAGTCCCCAGGCCACGGGATGGATTGTGCATACACATTGGGGATGTAATGACGGGATATTACAGACATGCAAGGATTTCCACTTACATTGTGCCCCACGGCGGTGCCGCCCATCATGTAAGTGTACATATCATGCAGTGCGGCGGGTTGACATGATTGTTTTGCTTCTTAAGAGCTCGAAAAGTTGTCTGGTGACTCGAAATGGTCATGTTTTTTGACACCGAATACGTCATGACGGGAGGGATGTTGATGTGGATGACAGCTCTACTTATACCGGACTAGATATCCCGAGTCCCAGTTATTGGCGGGTATAACCGAGCTAGGCTTAAAAGAACTTGGCCTACCACTACCGCTTTTTCTCGTTCGATATGGTTTTACTCAAACCAATCCTGTTACTGGATCGTTCCCAAGAAACCTTGCGACCCGCATCAACTGACCAGCAGATTGGTCGAAAGCCCAGATATACCCGGCACTATACCTAGTTGAGTGAAACCACATCGAGTGAGAAAAAAGCGGTAGGGCGTTGGCGACCTGCCTGCTTGGATCTGACTTACACGAGGGTATCTATCGTCAAAAACTCAAGGTTACCTTGGTTTGCTTGCACAACCTCCAACGATTCAGAAGTCAATCCAAAACATTTCCATTCATCCTTTTCACAAAATAAGGATAATGTTGTCATTAAAAATTCTGTCAAGCATATAAACGACTCTAACTTCTCAGGAAATCACGCTCCCGACTTGTATCTGTGTCAGCTTACATGCATGTTCTTATCCCCAGGTATCACAGCGGCAAAACCACGCGCTTGCAATGCAAGATTCAAGTCACAATCGAGATCCGGATTTGTTATGAATTGCCCCTCCCTCTTAGGCCCCTCCTTGCACTCTCCATCGCCTCGGATACTTGAAGAGACTTGAGGTATATAATACTTATCTTACCCATCAGACATCGAGAGTTTGATAGTAGTACGTACCATGGTACAAACCACACAACCGGTTTCCATTACAGAGCCAATGCAGGGGTGCATCATGACCGATCATGGCGGCCATCTCTTTCCCAGGTTTTCCTGATTGCACCATTCCATCGGGTGCCCGTCGGACAGACAGAGAGGCGTTCATGTGAGCACGCACACGACCACACACAAGAGATACATAGACGGGCATACCCAACACGAGGTTCGTAGCAGCCGAGGTGGGGAGGCGGTAGATCGACGATTCGGGATATTCCTGAAACTTTTTGCCTGGCAGGCTCAGCTTGGACAAATCTTGGTAATCAAGCTGAAATCCATTGGATATGTAGGTTGGCACGGGAAAAAAAGCGCAAGTGAGAATGGATGGCAACTCTTAATAAGAAGACCAAAACAGGCTTCTTCTTCTTCGTCGTTATGTGTCGCTATCATGATATCCAACAAAATCTAGCTCTAGCAGGTATGTACCGCCGCTAACCCCCTTTTATTCAGAAAAAATAAATAAGAAAAGGATATATCCATCAAGTCATCAATCCTAAACTCATAACCAAAAATCAAACCCCCTTTAAATCTTGGACTTCTCCGCAAACTTGACCCTCTGCTCCGGGCTAATCAAAGCATCATACGAGATGTTCGACAGCGTATCCGTCGGCGGCGCGCCGTGGTTGAACAGACTCCTAAGATCCAGCAAACCGGGGTTGAGGTCCTCGATCTTGGTCGCGCCGATCAGACGCATGTTCATCTCCATCTCGTCCTTGAGCAGCTGCATGGCGCGGTCGACGCCGTCGAATCCGTACGCCGACATGGCGAACAGGAAGGGGCGGCCGATACCGACGCCCTTGGCGCCGAGGCAGAGGGCCTTGAGGATGTCGGTGGCGCGACGGATGCCGCCGTCAATGTAGATCTCGATCTTGTTCTCCAGGCCGAGCTCGCGCAGCACCGGCATGGTCTCGGCGAGGACCTCGATGGCCGAGCGGGCGAATTCGAGCTGGCGACCGCCGTGGTTGGACAGGACGACACCCTGCACGCCGGCCTCGATGGCCTTGATCACGTCCTCGACGCGCTGGACGCCCTTGAGGATGATGGGCATCTTGGTGATGCTCTGGAACCAGGGGATGTCTTTCCAGCTGAGGGCGGGGTCGATGAAGGTGCTGATGGCGCGGGCCGCACCCTGGTTGCGGTTGGTCTCGGTGCCCTTCTGGACGTTACTGCCGTCGTCGGTGAACTTGACGCGCATGTCCTTCTCACGACGACCGAGCTGGGGCGCATCGACGGTGATGAAGAGGCCCTTGCAGCCGCGCTTCTCGGCGTGCTTGACGATGCGTTCGGTGATGGCGCGGTCCTTGTTGACGTAGAGCTGCAGCCACTGGATCTGGTCGCCCTCGGCGGCGTCCATGATCTCGTCAAAGGCGCAAGAGGCGAGAGTGGGGATCATCTGGACGACGTTGTGCTTCTTGGCGGCGCGCGTGAGCAGAACCTCACCCTCAACGTGGCCAAGCTTGCCGAGGGCAGTGGCGGTGACGTAGAAGGGAATATCAACCTTGGTTCCGAGCATCGTGGTGCTGAAGTCGACGTTCTCAACATCAACCAGGACCTTGGGGCGGAACCAAATACGGTGGAAGGCAGCGTGGTTTTCGCGCATAGTCTGGAGCACATGAGGTTAGCAAATAGGTCTAGCCACAAATAATCCAAAGAAGGGCTGGAAACAAAAGATAGCCTTACAATTTCATCATCAGCCGCGCTAGAGTAGTAAGCCCAGGCGGTCTTCTTCATAACTCTCTTGGCCACAGCCTCGAAGTCAACCAGGTTGTAGCACTGCTCGAGCAGGGGCATCTCCTCAATGCGCTTCAAGCGCGCCTGCTCCTCAGGATCGACCTCGGCCTTCTCGGTCACGACGGTGGACATGTCGACGGGGCCCAGGTGCTTGTCCTTGGCCAGGTACTTGTCGAGAGTGTCTGGGGGATGGATGGGATCGAACTCCTCGGTAGCGTCCTTGCCGGCATACTTGAGGATAATCTTCATGCCACCGGGGTGCTCGGGGAGGAACTCTGTAATATCGTAGGCCTTGCCGTGGACAATGACCCAGCAGTCATCCTGGGTGTTGTGCTTGGCGACCTCAACGCCGGTCAGTGGTGTTTGGGGGGCCATTTTGACTAGTGATGTGTGGTGGTTTTCGTCCTGTTGTTCCGGGTTTGCTGTATATAATGTTCGGTTCTCGGCGCATAAACCGGAGGAGAGAAAGATGGGGTGGTGGTGTTGGCGGTGTGCCTGTTATTTCCGCTAGACGATTTCCGGGGCGGCGACAACGAACTACGTCAGACGAGAAAAAGCTTGGCAGTGAAGCCGAAGACAGACAAGCAGTGATAATGAGGATGAGAGAAGACAAAAAGACACAAAACAAGGCAGGGAAAGAAGACGATATAAAAGATGGCAACGCCGGCTAGTCGAGCATTGATCGGACTTCAGCGGGATCCAGCGGGACACAGACGGCACCAGAAGGCTGGCTGCGAAGTTCGGAGGCCCTGGCGATTCCCTGGTTAACTGACTCCGATTCACCAATCGGCGGCCCTCCAATTCCAAATGACCCTCCCGTCGTCGGGTGTGGGGAACACCGGGGAAAAGCTCGGCATCGGCTTCAAACGTGGAGGTGCATGGTGCGGAGTCATCCTCCGACATGGAACTTCGGAAAGCGTGGGAGGTGGGGCCGCGATAACAACCCCACACTGCTCCGCCGTCCGATAACAAAAGCTGGGGTTGCCCCTTGGAGCGCCGGTTAAAAACTGGCGCGTCTGGGCGTCCAGACAGTTCTGGCAGAACCCCCCTCCTTGGTAAAGCGTACGCTAGGCAAAACAAACCCATGATGCCGGGAAGCATCGAGGCAGACTCACATTAGTGTACAACAGATAAACATTGGGGCCTGAACAAGATTCAAAGTCAACAAGTATTCACGTACTAAAGCTAGGTATTCTCTACTGGTGTTTTATTCTTCCTCCTCTTCTACACCTGCGTTTAGCACCTCGTATCACAGTCTCACCCACGATCGCCGTCATCCGATTCATCCAGGTCGCCTCTCCACCATGAAATCCCACGTTGAAACGGAACCGGTTCCACACTCCGCATACCAAGACCTCCACACACACAAGCTGACATGGGACAGTCTTGGTGGTCGATCGCTATCCATCAACTTTGGCAAAATAACACATGAAAGTGTTTTGTGTAGCCGCGCTGCCGGCCTTTTACGACGACTTGGTTTGGTTGGCCGCCGCCACCTGCTTTCATCGTCAGTCTCGAAGTTTCACTTTTGTGTGCGCTCAACTGGAACTTCCAGTGCTTCTTAGGAGGTCAGGGTTAGGTTTGTACCAACCTCGGCGATCAAACCCCGTCCGATCTCGATAGTCTCCGCCGCGCCTCTTTGGCGCAGCCAGAACAACTGCTCCGGGGTCTTGGTCGCGTTCACTCTGGCCTCCTCCTCGAGCGCCTCCCTCGTGATCCTTTCGCCACTGCTCACGTGTCCCGGACCCTGGGCCTCTTCTGTGAGGTCGGCATCATGCCCATGAGAACCAAAAGTCTGCTCAAGCAGCTTCTTGCGCATGGCGAACCGCTCGGCGCGCTCCTTCTGCAGACCGGGGTTGTCCAGCTTCTGGACCAGGCTGCGGACGACCAGCTGCACGGCAAAGTAGATGTGCTCGGCGAAGAGGATAGACAGGAGCAGCGCCCAGCCGGAAATGTCCCAGGGGGTGCCGTCGGGGTTGATGTCGTGCTTATTGAACAGGTAGACCAGAGCGGCGCTGATGATGCTGCCGAGCCATGAGAGGAAGCCGAGCGAGTGGAGCCAGGGTCCGATAGAGTCGGCACGCCAGGGAACGGGCCGCTGGCTGCCGATGGCAATCTTCATGGCATCGGAGCGGGCCTCAACCCAGTTGTTGACAAGGAAGGAGCAGGCAGCAAGCGGCCAGATGACGGAGAAGAGCGAGAGATAACCGAATTGAACCACCATCTCGCGGTAGTCAACCGTGACATCGTATTGGTCAAGCTCGGCTTCGTTTCTGACACGCTTGAGGAAGTCTGCCTCGTCGGGATGGTCCTTGATCTGGAGCTCGTGGCCGTTGCCGGAAAACTCGGACTGCACCTCCTGAACCTTCTTGAAAACCTTGCGCTTGGCATATGGCACAATGACCTCGGTCAAGAAGTTGACAATCTGTGCGGTGACAGTGAAGTAGATGACTTGCTGTGTCAGCCTGTCGGGGTTGATTTCCCAGCTCTTGGTGACCGGCTTCTCCATGGTCGTAAAACTCTGGGCGGTGACCTTGAACACATCTAGGTAAGGTACAAGAAGCTTGCCGAATGGGACGTAGACAAAGGCCGTCAAGAAGATAGGGAGATAGGAAGTAATGAAGTTGAGCACAAAGATCTTTTCAATGAAGGAAGCCTGGTGAGCATCGTGTGTCTCGTAGTTCTCGGCCTTGGTCAGCTTCTCGGCGAGGTTGGTGAGCAGTCCCGAGAAGGTCGGCATGAAGATGGTGAGAAGGACCGTAGGCAAAAAGGTCAAGTACTGCTTGAAAGGCCCGGTGTAGATCTCGGTGATGAAAACCTCGATCCCGAAGCAGCTCACAATCAGGCCACCAAGCACGACAACACAAGCCAGAGCGAATGGAATCTGGAGCAGCTGGCGAGAGAGGCGCTTGAATGGTGAGTACACCCGAACGATCTCACCGGTCACTGGATCCTGCGCTTCCCTTTCGAACTGAAACTGCGGCCTGGGGTGCTGGATTCTCGAAACACCGCGAACTCCCCAGCGGACGGCAAGATCGACTTCCTTGGTTTTCCAGTGCTCAAAGAAGACTACGGACCAGAGGGAGTTGACCACGGCATAGAACCACGAAAACTTGCCGAGAATAAGCCAGGCAGCAAAGCCAAAGGCAGCCGGGAACAGCATGAAGGCAAAGTATGACTGGAGGAAGGCGAAGTAAAAGGCCACGCGCTCGCCAAACTTGTCCCGGATGCGGTTCAGGTCCTCCTCATCGAGAAAGTACTTGCCGGACCATGCCTTGATCCATCGGTGGTTGAACGCATGGTCGTGAAGGGGGAAGATGGAGTCGACGTATTTCCACTTGCCCACCTTGGCGGTGATACCGGCGCCGCCCTCGTTCTTCGATTTGGTGATGAGAAGATAGGTCAGCCGCAGCCGTTCGGCCTCGCTCACGGGCTCCTCCTCAAGGTATTTGGAAAGATCCTGGTTAGGTGCAGAGGTGCGGACGCCGAAAAGCCAGTCCTGGATACGGTACCGGTAGACCTGGGAAGTGAGGAGCTTCTCGGAGGCGATCTTGGTGAAGACCAAAAGGGACGATTTCCCGCCCGGTCGAACTTCGGTCGCAAATCCGACGGCGGAGAGGGCGTTGATAAGCTGAATGAAAGCAGCCTCAGCTTCCTCTTTCTCATTTACTGGGTGGATGTTAGCATTGTCTGATCCTGCTGGAGAGGTCATGCCAGGGGCGGACGAACCGGAAGTGGTGGGCAGCTTGTAATGGATCACATAGTCAACGCTGCGCTGATGTTAGTCACGGTCACATCGCAAACCAAAACAAACTATGTGAAGCATCTCACTCACTTAAAGTTGGACCCGGTTCCGGGCTGCGGCTTGTCGTCCAGGTAGAACGACAATGGGTCGGCCATCGTGTCGGTCACTGGCGCTCAGGCCCGTTTCTTCGATTAGGGTAGGCGTCAATTGAGGACCGTCGTAGAGAGTTCCGAGGCTGGATGTATGTCGGTCTATGCGCGATTGAGAGGATGGACGTCCCAATATATTAGAGACGATGATGAGATGAAAGCCCAGGTCTGGATGAACCCTGGAATTCGAGAAAGGGTGATCGACGTCACTGGGCGTCCACCTCTCCCGTTCCACGTTGCAGCACCAAGATCCTGGGCTCTTGGCTCTTTCTCAAACGAGGATTACTTGGTCTGTGCGCGGAGCGAACGCCCCCAACGTCAAGAGACATTCGGAGTAAACATGGCCTTGGGATTTGACGTCTACAAGCTATTCGGCATTTCAAAGCTGTGAGCTTGAGCGTAGCCTGTCTGAATTGCGCTTTGATCAAGAAAGTTCTACTGGAAAGTGTTGGGCTTCACAGTGTTTGGACATTCAAACTCCTTTCTGTCTGTTCAAAAGTGAAACTCATTTTCGTACAGTATTTGCACAACAAAAGCTTCTCTAACGAAACGAAACCACTATGGAAGATCAATGTTTACCAAAAACTCGGCAATAGTTCGCTTGAGTCTTGTATACAACTGATCAGCATCAAAGAAAATAAGCCCCTGATTTTCAAATAAAAGAGGATTATTAGGTCTTCTTACGAAGAACAAGACAGAAAAAAAGGACAAAAAAGAAATCGTGATGCGCCAGCCGCGAATCGAACGCGGGGCCCATCGATGGCAACGATGGATTTTACCACTAAACCACTGGCGCTTAATCAGATTTCACGTATTAGCGAGCCAAATCTTCTGCCTAAGTTCCGACGCTCCCGTTTCATGGTACACTTCTACACAGTCGAGCGGTCGTAAGAATAAACCGAACACCTCGCGGTCTAATACATCACACCTTCGGGAGACCCTTGCACGCATTCATATCGTCGGCGGATGAAGGTTTAGACAGCGACAAGAAGTTGCCGTTGATTGTAACAGAAGTCTCCAAAGCGGCCATCTTGAGGTTTTGGGTTTGTTCCTGTGCTTGTTGTCAATCGAAGTGGGAAAGCAGGAACCAATTGATTATGTGAAAAGTGTGATGATTCCGGAGAAGAGGAGAAGACCTCCGGAGGCGGGGGGAAGACCGGCTTATATACATGAGAATCTGTGGCCAACCCGGCTTCTGATCAGCCATCTTGAGAATGTCTTCCTTCCTCCGTATCGCTGTCTACCTTCCTTGTCGTAATGGCTTCCCCCCCGACAGAAGGGGAGTGCTTTCCATACAGGTATGTCGCTATTCCCGTCGCCTTCAAGTTCAACATGGTCAAGAACGAGACAACTGACACAATAATATTCCACACGTCTGCGGCAGGAAAGACTCTCCTGACGCTCGCAGCCGGCGAATCTGGGATCCTTAACGGCGCGGTTCACCACCTCACTGTTGCGCCCAAGTCGAACGACAATCAGAGCCCGCCGCAGGCCAAGCAGTGGATGACCTACCAGACTTTTAAACCCGACGACATTATCAAAGCTGCGACTGCGACGCTCACTGCTTTACCAAACGGGGGTTACCGTATTTCTCTGTACACCATAGACGAGAGAGTTGTGGACGTGAATTTTAATCGATCCTGGTCTTCTGAACGGGTCAAATAACTTTGTGGGGGTAGTACTCAGCTGTTTCCTTTCATTTATCGATGGAGGTTCTGTAGTTTCCGGCTTCGGTTTTGTACTAGTTTGCTACAATTCCTTTTACACGGAACAAACAGTCCAATGGTTCACTTCTTACACCACAAGGAGCAGCGTATATAGTCGAATGGTCCTAAAAAATAAGCCGAACACGTTACGATTAGTACTTCACACCTTGGGTATACTCTATCACGCATCCAAGCGTCTTTATTACATATTCAAACCTAACATCTAGGCAGTTGCTGGATGGAAGAACCCTTAATAGACTCTGACCGATGTGTTTCTAAATTATTGTAATCCCTACCATAACTTTGTAACGGCCTTCCCAACTATACCCAGCGGTATTGGACTGCCCTTGTTCGGTTTATTCTTACCACCGCTCGATAGTGTACGTAGCTAGGCGGCGTCACGGCTCCTTATTGGGAAGGTCGTATTTCGCCACCAACGGCTGCAGTTGCACAGGGGTGCGCGTTGTGATGATGTTGTGCTGCTGCAGTGGCACGTCGAGGTGTGCGGAATTAAGTCCGAACACACTTAGACGACAACACACCAGAAAGTGTTCGGTCTTTTTTCCGCACACCTCGGTCGTGTTAAAGTCCGAGATATCTATTTGGTGCGGTTGTTCTTGCGTTCACACCGAGTCTTTGACTTTATCATCACCTTCCCGGTAGAACTTGCTCCATCTCCATCATAATGCGCGTCTCCTTCCTTTACTTCGGGCTGGCTGTCCCTGCCATGGGCGTCCTCGTTCCACCGACCTACGAGAAGGTGTCTCCCGAGATTGCAGAGAACCAGAGCAAAACGGTCGATGGCAAAACAACCTGTCCAAGCAGAACGAACGCCTATTGCTGCGATACCCTTGATTACTCCGGCTTCCAAGTCGAATGCATTGGTAGGAAAGAAAACGAATCTTTGAGTCTTAAACATACCAACCACCACTGGAACTGATAGTAACAAATTCCCCACAGGGCCCGGAAAGGTCGATTATCTCGAGAAATGCTTAGACTATGAGCCTCGGCCGATGTGTTGTTGCGTGTATGAGTTGAATCCTGACATGCCACATGTAAGTGATGATCACTCGTCAAAACCCTATGGTTACCGCATCGTGGAGTGGTCATCCCCAAAACAGAAAGTCGTTGATGATGTGGACCATAATAACTCCGAGTTTATGAAAATCAGGTCCCAAGAGAGATCAGCTGCGATAAGGACTGCAATGCGCTGAAGGAGCCGGAGGCCAAGGACAAGGTCATCGGGGACTTGTGATATCGCGCGTGACGCCATGTCGTCTTCGCCATACTCGTCGGTTAGGCGTAGAGCCCACCCTCTGGGGGTCTCGCTTACAGCCAGCCAACCGACTTCAGGCCGTGTTGGTGTCATCACCCACCGTGAGCGTCACGATGGTGGTTTCAACATCATCCATGTCAAGGATTCCCTCTGAAGTCGGTTGGCTGGGTGTAAGCGAGACCCCTAGAGGGTGGACTCCACCAACCTAACCGACAAGTAAATACAGTCAAGCTCGTTTCCGTTTCTGCTTTCTGGTCCTGGTTTTGGTTCTCGCGATCGAAGTCGTCGCCATGCCGGTTACCGATCGCTGTGGATGTTGATGACTTGATGTCCACGAAAGGGCGCACGTGTGTTGGGCCTCCACTTTCCGGGTGTCCCGTTTTTCGGCCGGCAGGTGCGGGACCTCCGAAACGGGATAAGTGGATCCGGCTCAATTGAGGGGTTCTAGAACTGTTCCGGCGCCAACTTTGTGGTATATATCAGGGAGCCGCTGGGCGAAGTTTCATAACATCTTATTCTTCCTCAGGTTTAGACTTCAGTCTTCCCGAGGTATCATCAAAATATACCATATCTTGAAGATGGACTCCCAGGGTTTCCGTGAGGCCGCTGCCACGGCCATTGACGACAGTGAGTTTCGTAACTTCCTCGAATTTTTCTCGTTATCATCACCCAGCGGACATCTCACTAAAACACTTATACAGTTGCCAGCTACTACGACAACCTCGATGATCGGGATGTCGTGTCCACCGTAGAGCCTGGCTACCTTCGGAAACTTCTGCCATCCGAGGCCCCGGTAGAAGGCGAGGCATGGACTGATATCCACAAAGACATGGAGGGCAAGATCCTCCCCGGTATCACTCACTGGTAAGGCCACCTCAGCATTTCACTTTATCTTAACGAGAAGCAAAGACTGAATGTGAAACTAGGCAACACCCCGGCTTCCACGCCTTCTTCCCCTGCGCCACCAGCTACCCCTCCCTTCTCGGCGAGCTCTACAGCGCCGCCCTCCCCGCCGCGGCCTTCAACTGGATCTGCTCTCCAGCCGTGACTGAGCTCGAGACGATCGTGCTCGACTGGCTGGCCAAGGTCCTCGGCCTTCCCGAATGCTACCTGTCCACCGGTCCCACCCGGGGCGGCGGCGTCATCCAGGGCTCCGCCTCCGAGGCTGTTCTGGTCGCCATGGTCGCCGCCCGCGACAAGTACCTGCGCGAGACGGTACCTCTGGACCAGTTCCCCGAGGGCTCCGAGGCGCGCGAGGACGCCATCGCCCACAAGCGCAGCAAGATGGTGGCGCTCGCCACGTCGGCCACGCACTCGTCCACCAAGAAGGCCTCCATCATCTCTGCCGTGCGCTTCCACACCATCCCCGTCCACGCCGACACGGGCTACTCGCTCACCGGGCCTGTGCTGGCTAAGACGCTCGCCGAGCTGCGCGCCCGCGGGCTCGAGCCATTCTTCATGACCGCCACCCTCGGCACGACCGACACCTGCGCGGTCGACGACTTTGCGGGTATCGTGTCGACGCTCAAGTCGGACCCCGTGCACCCTGCCGGCACACCCGGTGAGCTGTGGGTACACATCGACGCAGCCTACGCCGGCTCGGCGCTGGTCCTGCCCTCGGTCCAGGAGCAGGTGACCATCTCGCTGATCGAGAACTTCCACTCGTTCAACATGAACATGCACAAGTGGCTGCTGACCAACTTCGACGCCTCGTGCCTCTTCGTGCGCGACCGCAACTGGTTCATCCAGGCTTTGACCATCAACCAGGCCGTGTACGGCAACAAGGCGTCCGAGGGCGGGCTGGTGACGGACTACCGCGAGTGGATGATCCCGCTGGGCCGTCGCTTCCGGTCGCTCAAGATCTGGTTCGTGCTGCGGAGCTACGGCGTCAAGGGCCTGCAGGAGTATATCTCGCGGACCCTCAAGCTGGGCGAGGAGTTTGCCGACTCGCTCAAGTCTAGGCCGGATCTGTTTGAGATTTTGACTGGCCCCAGCTTTACCCTGACTGTGTTCAGGGTGGCCGGCAAGGAGCAGGGTAAGAGCGAGGAGGAGCTGAATGCGCTCACCAAGGCTGTGTGCGAGAAGATCAACGCTTCCGGCAGGATGTGGGTGACTAGCACGGTGCTGGATGGCATGTTTGCCATTCGCTTGATGACTGGCGTGAGTACGACTGAGAAGGAGCATGTTGACCGGTCGTGGAAGATTTTGGTTGAGGCGGCGGAGGAAGTTCTCAAGGCTTAGAGCGCGGGTTAAGAATAAGAGACATGGTGTGTGCATGGCGCCAGGTAGATAAAAGCAAATGATACCGTTGAGGACCAGAATGATGCAAAGCATCAACGCAACGTTTCCTTCTGATCAAGCCACCGAGACCTACCCAAACCCCTCTGATACTAACAATGACACACCAAATGTACATGGACGTTAGAATCAGTATAACTCTGTCGTTACACATAAGACATGGTGTAAATGATAAACCCAATGCAATTCTCATCTTCTACAACTCCTCTTCCCTCCTCTAAACGGCTATCGCAACTCAACCACATGCCGGCACTATATACTCGCACGCCTTGGCGCCATCGTTCTTCTTAAGGCTTTCTTCGCCTCCGTCTCCTCAGCCAGAGGCAACACACCCTGCTCCCTCAACTTCTGGAGGAACTCCTGGCCATATTTGTACCCGACCCCATAGATCTCGTCAAATTTGCCAAAGTCCAGCGTTCCATAGTCGTCAATCGGAGGGCGCATGTAAATGCATCCGGGCATCGTCTTTGCCCTCTCTAGCTCACCGACACTCGACACGTACGCAAGGCGGGCCTGGATTTCTGCTAGCGTGGGCGGATTGGGTACCGATGAGAACGGATTCCAGCGGTTGAAGAATGCCCATACACCAGACAGAGAGTCGCCAAAGGCCTGCGGCGTGTTATCATCAAGCGAGCCGACGTCAACGGCAAAAATGACGTCCGAACCGAGAGATTTCATGTGAGATACCGTCAGATTGTCGATGTAGCCGCCGTCCAAAAGCATGCTGCCTTCGTCGCACAGAGGTGGGAGTAAACCAGCCAAGGACATGGACGCTCTGATATAGCGCCATGCGTAACCACTGGTGTGAAACTCGACTCGGCTCTTGCTGATGTTGGTGGTGTTGCAGTAGTACTCCAGCCAGAAATCTTCAATCTGCGTTTTCCCAAAGGTCTTGAAAATTCCGCGGTTGAACTCGTGGCCGGTTGTGTAGGAGGCGGACGGATATGTCAGGTCAAAAGCGAACCTCCACATGCTTGCCATACGCCCAGCGAACTTCTTGGCTAGACCGAAGATGGGAACCACATCCGCATGCCTGGCGTACAACCCGCCGATGAAGGCTCCGATTGACGTTCCTCCGACCATGTCAATGGGGATTCCGGCCTCTTCCATCGCTCTGATGATTCCGATATGCGCAATTCCTCTGGCGCCACCACCACCCAGGACGAGACCCACAGATTTGCCGCACAACCGCCTCGCCAACCGATGAAAGTCTCCCTTGAACGGAGCGTCGGGGGAGTAGAAAGGAACGTGGCGAACTTTTCGGGAGGTGTACTTCTGAATTTCTGCCTGCAAGATCTGAACCCGCTGCTTGAGGCTTGGCCCGAACCGTTTCGTGGGCGGATGGATAGGCACAGTGGTGGGGGTGTATTCCATTTGAACATGGAAGTGGCCTCCGTTGATCCACATTCGGTTCTTCAGCCATTGCCTCGTCAGACCAGGGTTAGAGTAACGCTCTTGGTGAACGAGGACAAGAATCTTTCGGGCCGTTGACTTCATGCCAAGCATGAAGCGCTCATACTCTCCGATTTCAGGGGAGCTGTCCGCGAGGCCGACGAATAATACACAATCAGCCTGCGTGATGCATGTTTGGGTCCATGGCGTGTTGACGTTCGTGTCTGTCATGAGTTAGTTCCGCTTATAGATAGTTACAACAAGCCGAAATCGACCGGGTTGAACTTACCAGCTACGTAGATAACAAGTCCATATTTCTCTTCTAGATCGGCGAGGTACTGTGACAGCTTGAGCTTTCCCATCTTGTTGAATGCGTGTTTTCCGAGGTGATTGAGAATTGCTGCTTGGTTCAAGCAAGTTGCGCCATTCGGAGGTCCAACTTGTGATAGTGCGTTCATTAACCTATTGCCAAACTCAACAACAGGGACACCCGCGGTGACAGGTAAGATTGCCACAGTCCTCAAATTTAGAGTCGAAGAGCTCTTGTAGCTTCGAACCATATTATCTTTGAGTCCCATACGTGAAGGATCGTCGATGAACGCCCTCATTCGAGCTGCGATAATCTTGGAAATCTTGATGGTGATGTTAGGATGCTCCTGGGCTAAGTTGTTGAAGAGCGTCCGAGGAAGTTTCGCCAGTTCGGTTTCGCGGATTGCGTGTAGAGTTCCGGTACGTGAGGATTCAGTCAACACTTCCAGCTCTCCGATACTCTCTCCCTGGCCGAATTCGGCTTTGACGTTCATTCCGCCCTCTTTCTGATCTTCAACCAGTCTTAACCGGCCGTTGAGAACAAGGTAGATAGCTTCGCTTTCGTCGCCTTCGCGGAACAAAACCTGACCGGAGTTGACCTGCACCCACTCGAGAGCAAAGTCAATGTGCAGAAGTAGACGCGGCAGTAACTCGGTAAGCCGCTTAGCCATGGTAAGCAGAACAATGGGATAACGGTCAACAATCCTCTCGATGGAGGCGAGCGGGAGAAAGCCGACACAGACATCTGTTCTCGCAACAACATCGATAAACGATCTGTATGAGGAAATAGTACCGACATAACCAGCAAGCCCACCTGGTTTGATCAGAGCCACGCTCCTTCGACCTTGTTTGCCTTTTTTCTGCTCAGCGCCAAAGTTGTTGTTCATATTCGGTTCTGGAAAGCGCGACGAGTTGGCTCCGAAGGCGTCGGCACCAGTTGTTGAACCGTGGCCATGGTCTACCTTGGCTGATGACTGGAGAAGGTCATGTGATGAATCGTCGCCCGGAACGCAAATGTCGAGAAAACCATCAATAACATAATAGAGACCAGGATTCCTCTCGCCTTGCTCCACCAAGACAGAGCCCTTAGGAAAGAAGACGATCTCAGCCTCGTCCTTCATATCGTGTGCGAGTAGTTGAGGATTGGGGACTGGTGACGATGAGTTAAATCCACCAGACGTAACTGACTCCGTGTCGTTGTCAAATGGGTCGAAGGCATCCATGAAGCCAAAGGCAGTATGGCCTAGACCACCCCTCGAACGTCGCTGGTCCATAGGAACGAACCTTGGGGAAGCTTGCGTGGAATCCGGATTGACACTTCCGTTACCGGTCAAGCCAATGGCCCTGAACATGCATTCGAGCACCGACTCTCGGAACATGTCGTCTTCATCAAGGGCTTCTCTCGTGTCAAGGGAGACATGTGCGTTTCGGGGAGTAGAGAAGGGACTGAGATTTCGCTGTGGCCGAGGAGATATAGCGTCTCGCGCTAGATCAAGCTGCGATGCCGGTCCAGACTTCAACTGTTGCGTATTCGTGAGCAAATCGCCGGGGCTAGACATGTCGGGTGATCGGCGTTCTCGACGTGCTCCGAATGCAGGGGTCGCGGTGACGATGCTCTGCCGCCTTTTCGAATATGCCTGCAGTGCCACTTCTTTCCGAAGCGAGGCAGCCGAACGACGTCGGCGGGCAGCATGCGCATTGTGAAGAGCAATGCCCTTTTCGACCTCCTTCTCTCCAATTCTTTCCCTTTCCCGCTTGAACTTCTCCTTGAGTCTGTCCAAAGCGTCTCCTCTGAGATGATTAGGGAGCTGCCGAACTGTATACTTCAACATGTTGCGCTCCATCTGCAATACTTCGCCGCTCAAACCAAGGTAGTTGTAAGCAGTGGCAAGTGTAACTCTCTGAAACCTCGAAAGGATGACATGAACGATGTGCGCAGTGGCCTTGGGATATATCTTGATCAGACGCCTGAAGGCGCTGGCGGGGATAATGGCTATGGTGGTGTCCACTGTCGCTCTCGCAATAATATCTGGATGGGCTGAGGTGGTATTGAGCCTCTTCGGTACCGGCCGGCGGGGTACAGCAGGACGAGCGTTCGCGAGAGAAAGTGTTGGTATCCTCGAAGAATCATGAGCTAGGGGAGACGATGTTAGAGACTCAGCCGAAGCCAAACCAAATTGCATTTCGTGGTTGTCGGAAAATGGGGTACCTGGGGTGGACGGGAGCGTATCGTTCGACTGCCGGAAGTTGGCGTTCATAGGGTAACCAGGCATAGCGGTGCCAGCAGCGGAAGGCGTTGGGTCGGGGCTGTCGTCGTCGTCGGTGTCATGCATTTGGATATCTTCGGTAAAGAGTGACATGATAGAGAACAGTGATGACATGGGGGCACCGTTTCGCACTTCGGTCAGAAGCTGGTAGCGCTGGCGACCCGGAGCAAAGCCTTCCTCATCGTCGCTACTGGTCTCGAACGAAGGGCCACTGGCTGAGTATCGACCATCTCTGGCGGATTTGACAAAGATCTCCACCATACCGTCGACCACAAGACAGAATCCTTGTTCTTCCTCGAGGTTGAGGGTTTCGCCAGCGATCAGCTTCCTCGTCGACATGCTGCGGGTCAGTTCATGGAAAACCGGCCTTTCCAGATAACCAAAAATCTTGATGGCGCTGAGGAACTCGTCAAAGTAGCTTGCTAGCCCGGACTTTACTCCCTCCTCCTGTGTTTCGGGGAACAGGTCAACGGCTGGCTCTTTGCGCTGGGGCTCGGGAGGAAGCCGTGAGTACATGTTCAAGTAGCGATATCTGACCACCCAGGTGACTCCTCCCATCATGAACAACATGATAAGCACACTAAACACACAGTTAGATCCACCAGCCTCCAGTCCATGTACACAATATGCGGCTGGCGGATGACTTACAGCGTAGTAGCGTTCATGGTCACAGTCAGACTAGTCGAAAAGATGTTGAACAGGAATGTGGGTGTAGTGATGGTGGCCAGCTTGATGACGAAGTATAGCACACTCGAGATGAGGTGCAAGAGCCGGAGGATGAGGGTGAACCATGATATCGAGGTGTGTTCGGGAACCACATCGCTAGCTTTGACGACCGCATCGCTGGCGAGGGCGACCACAGACGAGAGAGCTTCTGTAGGATCGGCGAGGATCGCCGTCGCAGTCGTGGACGTCGTCTCGGAAAGCACCGAGCTCATGGCGTTGCTGAGGTTGCTAAGAGACTCCATTTTCAGAAGCCTGAAGCATCAAGCAAGCCAAGAGTTACCGGGCCGGTCGTGTCGGTTGTGTCTGGAAAGGAGAAAGTGTGTGTTTTGTTATGAATTCGTCTGCGTCGTCTTCGTCGCGCGAAGTGTAGTAAGTATCGCGGTATTGTCGCGCCGTCGTCGTGGGAATAGTGGAGGATGGTGTCGTCGATCAAGGTGAACCCCAAGGTACCGTCGCAACCTAATCAAGGTGTGTTGTCCCCTCCCCGATGCCTGTTGTTGAAACCCAACTCTTACTACCTTGTCTGCGGTATCGTCGCTCGGTTCTTTGTCATGTCGGTTTAAGTGTTGTCACCCGGGACGGAGACCGTCGAGAAAAGGAAATAGGCGAGATTCTCCAAGGAGAGACATAAGGCGTAGGAGGTCGGGTGATGGTCGGCCCTCGGGACTTATTATGCGACGGGAAAGTTCGAATCTCCAAGTCCCGTCGTTGGTTGACAAGCAAGGTTCAGTGGTCGAAGCTCCCTAGCTCGACGAATGTCCAAGGAAGATTCCAGGCTTGTCCCCACTGTCGGTTCACGATTGACGTCGTTGTTCCTGCCCATTGAGCTGGCGCTCGGCACAGTGGGGTTCGGAAGGGCAGGTGGGGTAACCGAGAGGTACATACCTGCCGTGCCATTGTTCCCACTGTGCGCTTCCTCACCCCGACCGCAAAGAAAAGATGGAGCCGCGTCTTGCCGTCACGGTAAGAACGTGAAATTCACCCCTCAATCCCGCGCACCAGCCACAGCCCACTTTCGTTTCCCCAGTGCCCCGCCACTTTCGCAGTCTTGTCTGCACGTAATTTTTGGTTGGTACCCGAAAAATACTGCGACGCATCTGGCTTGACTCTGAGTCCTTTGAGCCTCTCTGGACCCTCTTCGAGAACCCGCCGCCGCAACCAGGACTGAACTTCCAGAGGACCTTTCCCAGCTGTGGCCACTTGCAGCGAACTCGGTCAATTTTCTTTCTCGGTCATCAACCCCTCCAGACCACCCACTCGAACTCCATCTCGCCCATTGTTGCGAACCTCGTCGCCGACATCGCCCTCCCCCTTTCAACACCACCACCAACACCACTTATTTCCCCGTTTGCCCCGCCCGGGAAAAGGCACCAGTCGCCAAGATGTCGCTCTCAAACTGCCGTTTCTACGAGGAGAAGTATCCTGAAATCGACTCCTTCGTTATGGTCAACGTTAAGCAAGTACGATACACTGGGGTCCCGGTGGTGCGCATGCGCATGTGAATGCGTCAGAGCTGACCCCCAGATTAGATCGCCGATATGGGCGCCTACGTCAAGCTTCTCGAGTACGACAACATCGACGGCATGATCCTGCTCTCTGAGCTTTCCAGAAGACGTATTCGCTCCATCCAGAAGTTGATCCGTGTCGGTCGCAACGAGGTCGTCGTCGTTCTCCGTGTCGACAAGGAGAAGGGTTATATCGATTTGTCCAAGCGCCGTGTCTCCCCCGAGGATATCGTTCGTTGCGAGGAGCGTTACAACAAGAGCAAAATCGTCCACTCGATTATGCGCCACGTTGCCGAGAAGACTCTCGTTCCCATCGAGCAGCTCTACGAGACGATAGGATGGCCCCTCAACAAGAAATACGGCCACTCGCTTGATGCCTTCAAGCTTTCGATCACGTACGTCACTCCGGGAAACAGGCATACAGTCGTGGGACGAATGGCGGTATTGGACAGGATGCTGACATGGATGTGAAGCAACCCCGACGTCTGGAATGACATCCAGTTCCCCACTGAGGCGGTCGCCGAGGAGCTCAAGACCTACATCAGCAAGCGTTTGACTCCCCAGCCTACCAAGGTCCGTGCCGATGTCGAGGTTACTTGCTTCGGCTATGAGGGTATCGATGCTATCAAGACCGCTCTCCGCACTGCGGAGGCTCGCAACACTGAGGAAACCCAGGTCAAGTGCAGACTTGTGTCCCCCCCTCTTTATGTGTAAGTCCTTGCAAGAAAGCTTCTCGCAATTTTGAAGGAAAAGTGGCAGCTAATAACCCTATACAGCCTTACCAACACCTGCTTGGACAAGAACGCCGGTATTGCCCGCCTTCAGGAGGCCATTCAAGACATGCGGACCAGCATCGAAGCTGCTGGTGGCCACCTTGTAGTGAAGATGGAGCCCAAGGCTGTCACCGAGTCCGATGATGCTGAGCTCCAGGCTCTCATGGAGAAGCGTGAGCGCGAGAACGCCGAGGTCAGCGGCGACGAGAGCGTCAGCGAGTCCGACGATAATATCCCCGAGACCGTCTAAGGCGCCTCTTCATTTTGCAACCATGTCTGAACGGAGCTATTTTTTTTCAGGCTCATTGGGAATACTCGACACTATTTTGAGGAAAGGTTTAGGGATGCATGTATACAGTTTTTGCGACACAGGGCTGGCGTCTAGGGGATACAAAAGTCCTTCAGGCGGTAGAGGAATCAACCGAAAGATTGCATCAAGCGCATGCCTAATGAATGTGAGCGAGGGACGAGGATTAATGAACAAAGACTTAATAACGACCGTCATGTTTTGGATGCACGTGGTGTACTAGATTTACGGCGCTCGAGGATATGCAGCTACCGGGGCCGACAAGCGATCTTATCGTTTTCTTATCGCCGCCTGCCCGGACTTTTGGCTGCAATTATCGTCTCCCCATGTTAACGTCACAGGCTCCGTACTGCTCACTGAGCCCGTTGAGGCGAACACACTCCCTCGATTTCACAGCAGCATTGCAATTCACGGCAAAGAGTTGCAACACATTGACAGTTTCGGTAGCTCGACAAATCGCCTTGCCAGATAGCGATGGCGGCGCGATGGGGAACAGGAATTCGGAACGGCTTCCTCGGCCAGTTCTCACACTACCTCATCCGCTACGCAACATGGATCCCTCCATTGGTGGTCTTTAACGGTTGGGTTGCTGAGATCACACAAATCAACGGGCCGTCCATGTATCCCTTCTTCAACCCGCACCACAATGAGTCAACGCGCCGGGACATTGTGCTGGTCTCCAAGTGGTACCCGGACCGGAACCTCAAGCGCGGCATGATTGTGACCTTTAGGTGAGACCCAAATCTCATCCTACAGCATCTGGCGTGCCGCATTTGGGCACCAGTTGGGAACCTGAAGACTAACTGTAAACCAGAAACCCACTGAACCCAAAGGGAAAGGTCGTAAAAAGAGTAGTCGGAATAGCAGGCGACGTGATCCGTACAAAGGCGCCTTATCCGCATGAATACGTCCAGGTCCCAGAAGGGCACATTTGGGTGGAGGGAGACGGCGACAAGACCAAGGACAGTAACTACTACGGCCCGATATCAGCATGCTTGGTCACGGGGCGCGTCACGCATATCCTGTCGCCGTGGGATCGATTTGGACGAGTAAAGTGGTGGGAGCATAACCTGCGACCGGGTATCAAGAAGGCACGCCATCTGCTGGAGTGAGCCATTCTTTGAGGATGTCCACCTTGTTGTTTGCGTGAATGGGTCACGTCCACACATGCTGCTTTTTTGGGCGCACAGACAGTTCTTTTGGGTTTGACGATGAGAGGATGCTTGTCGTTACCAACATAAGTGGGAAATGACGACGGCCGCAGGGGAAGCAAAGGAGGAAACAGGATCAGTTTGATTGCTGGACCACAGGGCCTCTGTTTGTTTACTATGTCTCAGGGGGTGTTGCTGTACAGAATATTCGAGGGGGACCAATGTTACGTGCGGGTTAACGAAACGCACGAGCCACATCGATTGCTGCATGAACCCTGCAACGGTGCGCCCGAAAAAAACGGATAAGCCAGTCTTGGCATTCGCAAAGGCGCAAAGGCGGCCTCGAAATTTATCAAGAAACTTGGATCTTCTCGCATCCATATCTCAGTTACCCCATGAAGCTTGCGCGCCATTGCCCGCCGCGGTTCTACAAAAGACTTGGGGGTTCGCCATTGAACATCGCTGCCCGCACCTAAGGCGGCGGAACTCCCTCGCCCTCCCTTCTCCTCCCAAAAAGGGCGATGGTGCTTGGCTTCGAGGCAGCCAGTACGGACCCTCTGCACCCTACCACCGCTTCCACTTCCACATCCACAATTGCGCCGTCGTCGTCACCGTCTTCGCTGTCGCCCACGGCCGTCGCCGACCATGGACTTACACATCAACAGGGCTTTGGGACTATCACCGAAAAGGACTCGCCGCGTAATATGACTCCTGACGATGGGGATCTGGAAAGGCGCCCGCCTTTGCTGCAAGTATGTCATGTCTTGTCTTGTCCTGGGTGAAACTCTTGCGCGCCATCATCGCCAACCCTCAAACTGTCGCTGACCACCATGCGGTAGTGCATGCTTGCAGGCGGCTTAGGAGGGACAAGTGGCGACATGCTCATGCACTCGCTCGACACGGTAAAAACTCGACAACAAGGCGATCCGCACATTCCGCCGAGATATACCTCGCTGGGCTCATCATACTACACAATCTTCCGACAAGAAGGCATCCGACGGGGCCTGTACGCCGGCTGGCTCCCGGCCCTCTTGGGATCGTTTCCCGGAACCGTCCTGTTCTTCGGCACCTACGAATACAGCAAGCGGCACATGCTGGACTATGGCGTCCAGCCCCATATCGCCTACCTGCTCAGCGGTAAGTCGAAGGAGGAAAGTCGGCTGATAGGAGTTACGCCTACTGACATGAGTTGCGGTTAGGGTTCCTCGGCGACTTTGCCGCGTCTATCGTCTACGTGCCCTCGGAAGTTCTCAAGACCCGCCTTCAACTTCAAGGCCGCTATAACAACCCCTACTTCGCATCTGGATACAACTACAAGGGCACGACCGATGCTGTCAGGACCATTGTTCGCAGAGAGGGATTTTCGGCCCTCTTCCACGGATACAAAGCGACTCTCTATCGGGACATGCCCTTTTCCGCCCTGCAGTTCATGTTCTACGAGCAGGCTCAAAGCTGGGCGCACAAGTGGATGGGAAGCCGCGACATTGGGTGGCAGCTGGAACTGTTGACGGGTGCTGCGGCGGGAGGTCTTGCTGGTTCTATTACGTGCCCACTCGATGTAGTCAAGACCAGACTTCAGACCCAGGTCGTTCCGGACCCCACAGCATCGCCGATCGGCTCCGGCTCAGCGACAACACAAGTGTCCGCGAAGGACGGAACTATCAAGGCGTCCGGCACCACGGAGAGCTCGACACAAAAGCTCCAGAAAAGACTAATATCGACATCGTCACCATCAACCCACACGCCACGACCAGGAGCTGTTACCCTGGACACGTCTTCGGTATTCACGGGGTTGAGGATGATTTACCAGACAGAAGGCATTGCCGGATGGTTTAGAGGCGTCGGACCCCGTGCAGTCTGGACCAGCATCCAAAGCGGCTGCATGCTGTTTTTATACCAGGCGATTCTGCGTCAGTTGGAGGCTCATTTGCCCGGTGAACAGGAACGTTCAGAGGTGGCCTAATGCTGCATCTCTGTTTAGCGCAAGATGAAGCGTTATTGTATACCGATATCTAGACATGTTGGTTGTATTCTATCCGCGATGGAGATGGCGGCAAGGGAAAATATCAAAGAGGCGTTTATGGGATGGACGGATTGATGGATAGAGAAGCACAAAGCATTTGTATGAATATAAGCGATATAGACATAGACCCGAGCCTTTTTACGTTGGGAACATTGGAATACTCTGCTCAGGTCGTTGGGGTGTTTGCCCTGGGTTACGCTGTACATATGAGAGACAGATCATGTCAAAATAACAACGGATTGCCCAAACTGGACGGCGGGAGGGAGGTCGCATTCAGACGCTCATCTTTTTGGCTCTCGGGATTCGGATGGAGGCTCTGCGGGCGCCGTTGAAATTGAGATGCGATTCCGCCAAGTCCAACACGGCATTACCAACCTGAAGATGCTGGACCCACCCAGCTAGCGGGGTGCTGCAGTGCAACAGTGCCCACTCCTAGCGGAGGCGTTCGGGTCTCGCTTCCACTTGACCTTCAGTGCTTGTTTCCCGCGGCGCAGCGCGGATCGATTTTTGGAAACATTTTTGAGCTCATCGTGTCCCACACAAGCTTCGGAGCTCACGACAAGCTTCGGCCGTCGACCACCTACCTCTCTACCTCTTCACCAGGGCCCTTCCCCGACGCCCACCATCCACGCGACTCGAACGGGGGATTTTCGACCATGATCTGACGAGCGAGATGGAACACGGGAACCAGCGGCCATGTCATCACCACTTCCTGTCCCCTCCAAAGCTGCCTTGACGGCCCTCCGAGGACTTGTCGTGGGAACCTCCTGCACCCTCGCGCTCATTGCCGAAGATCGCCGACGACGAATCAGAAACGCCTTGACCGCAATTGAAAATGGAGAGCGCATCAGACAAGCCAAGAACTACAACACGGGCGGCGCTGCTCTGGCTGTGGCCCTGGAAGAAGAGTCATTGCTGGATGCGGGCGTCTTGCCCTTAGCTCCTGAGCCATACGCTGCGCTGCCCGCGGAGATCATCCGACAATACGATAATGCTAGGGCCGCGGAATTGGAACGATTGCGAAGAGGAGAGGATGTCGGCGAGCCAGAAACAACACGGAGAGAGCATGATTCGGGGCCACATCCTTGCGGGCATAGCCGCAGAGAAACATCAAGGTCATTTACACCCAAGAAGCGAACCCTCACAGGGCAGCACCACTTTATCCCACCGGTAGAAGGAACACCGATCACGCAAACTCGGCATATTCATCACAGGTTCTCAAGGAAGGCAGACAACGAAGGAGGGCGAAGCTCGCTCGCGTTCCCCAGCAATGATAATATTGTCGTCATGATTCAGGAAGCTTGCAGAACCAAAGAATTGGGTCAGATGGAAAAGGCCGCATCATTAATCTTCGAAGCGACCAATCAAAACCAAGCCCCGGGCAATCTGGACGAGGCCTGGATGGAGGCTTCTGCGTTACTCTGCCGGACCTACTTGGACTTGGAACGATCAGAGGAGGCCGCAAAGATCCTATCTACCGTGTTAGCCCGTGCACCACTCACAGAGGCGCGATATTTCGACTTCCAACCTGTACGGCTGATAGAATCACTTCTCGCCAAAGCGACGCAAGCGAAGACCGGGGAGAACATATGTCCAGCCAAACTCGAAACGGCCATCAGTCTCTTCTTGCCAAGGTTCACGGAAAAGCCGGTGGTCCAGAGTGCCGAATTGCTTGCGGTGGGAAGAGCGTTGCTCGACCATGCCTTTGCTGTGGGGAAATCCACCAGGGCCATTGACGTATACTGGAGGTGTATCTCGGTCTCGGAGAGTCAATATGACTTCACCTCATGGGTTATCACCAAACTTCATGACACTGGCGATTACAAGGCAGCCATTCGATTGTTCCTCGCCAACTACTGCAAGATGAGCCCGAGTGCGCCATCCATCATTCGCATTGCAGGACCGCTAGTGCAGTGTGTTGAGAAGGCCCACAACTACAAACCGACTCAGGTCCTCAAGACCCTGTTGAACATTGCCTCGGGAAAGTGTCAGCTCAAAACGGAATGGATCATGAGGCTCCTGACTGCTCACTGGAGACGACATGGCAGTTTCGAAGAGTTAGAGACGTTCTTCCAGCAACTCATAGAGTTAGGCTTGAAGGATGTAGTTTACCATCTGGACGGCGTATACCGTGTCATGATCGAGTTGGCATTGGAAGCTGGGGAAGATTTTAAGGCGGAGTCAATTTTCGCTCAAGCCTCAACAGAGCTACCACAGTTGGCCCACGACGTGCGGCTGCTTGGTATCTTTGCACGCTTCAAAGCCAAGCAGCAAGACTGGGAGGGAGTCAGGGAATCATTCGGGGCCATGAAGTTGGACTCCAAGCCAGCACTTGATGCGTGCGGTACCGCATTTGTCCCGGTGGTCAAAACCTACGCAAAAGATCACACTGTCCAGGAGACTGATGCCTTCATGAGATCCTATATCACCGACCTCAAGGTGCCACTTAGCCGGTTCCTAGTTACCCTGATGGCGAAGCAGTATGCCTCCATTCGCGATCTTGAATCCTTCGTCGAGTGGCTTGAATACTGTAGCACCGCTGGATTCCAGGTTGACGCAGCATTCACAAACGCCGTGCTTGTTAGCTGCCGAAGAAACTGGAATGTGCCATTCCGAGACCTTCGAACCTTGTTCCGCAAGCTCAGAGCATTGAATCCCAGCTTTGTTGATAGACACACAGAGCGCGTCATGATGGATGCAGCGCTCTCATCAGACAACAAGCTCGATGGAGGATTTGCTCGCGGACGAGTTCTCTCGTTACGTGTAACTCCCAACATGGGCCCTGTCAGGGGCAAATCTGATACCGAACATGAGGTCTCTCTGGCGATGAAGGAGGCGCTGAGCTACAGGCACCCAGCCAAAGCACTCAGCATCTACAAGCGAGCCCTCCACCTCGGGATGCCCTTCTCCGAGTGCGCTCTAAAGCTGGCAGTCAACGCACAGCTGAAGCTGGAAACCAGGCCCTACAAGAAGACCTATGATCTCGTGCTGAAAGCCCAGGACCAAGGGAACAACGTCGATGCCATCCTCAACTACCTTCTCGGCCTGCAACTCAACGACCTCGCCGCAAAAGGCGGCGAAATCAGGAGCATCGTCCAAACAGCCATCGACCGGATCAAAGAAGTCGGCCTCAAGATAGCCGACACCTTCCTCCACCGGGCTGCTTTGATCTGCCTAATGTCCGGCCACTTCGAAGGCGCGCATCACTACGCCCTCATGGCCGCCGAGTCCAGCAACCACTCGGAACCATGCTACAACCTAGAGAACTTCCGCATCATGCTCTACTCCTTCGCCGGCCTCCTCAACATCGACGGCATCCGCCACGTGCTGGCCAAGGCCATGTCCAGCAACTACAAGGAGCACACGGGCTGCCTCAAGGCGCTCAAGCGGGCGCGGGAGATGGTCATGGAAGCGCGCCTCAACGACGCGAAGACGCAGCAAAGGCACGACGCCTACGATGTCTTGAGCGAGGGTATCGACAAGATCGTCGAGTCCCGCCAGCGGTTGCAGTCGCAGCGCGTGAAGCTGGGCGTGGAGTCGGTCCGGATCATGCGACAGGCGGCGCTGGATGCGAGCGGTGCTCTGGTTGACTTTGCCGAGATCCCGTGGTTGAATAGCAAGCCTAGGATCAGGCAAGATGATGAGGCGGAGCTGGACTTTGAGGAGGAGTTCCGGAGGCAGCAGCAAGAGGAGGAGGAGGAGGGTAGGGCTGTCTTTGACGAGCTTTTGGTTTTGGATAGTGCGTATCCTACTGCGGGTGGTAAGATGGCTGGGACTGGGGCTGGATTGGCACAACCTGTGCCGGCGGCGTGAAGGGATCATGGGAAGAGTTGGAGTACATACATACTTAGCATACCTACCTACGTACATATAGCATATGAGATAGTTGGACAATGAAACAGTCCTGGTTGATGTTTACATACGTGTGAACGTCTCTGTTAACCTTCACAGACTGTTCTTGACATGTATATGGTCATTGCATCACGGACAAGTCAATTGGCGATGCATGTCTTTCATCCTTACCTCTCTGTGTAACTCGCAAAACGTAGTCCTAGTTGGACAATTGGCCTCGCCGTAGATGTTGTCATCATCACGCCGCGTTCGACGATGAATCGACTCACATGTCAAGTTAGCGGTCAGGGGCAGAAAGGGGTATCCGCGCCATGTGGCCCGTGCGCTATGCCATTGGCTCAGTCTGATTAGTTGGATGTTTACGGTGTTTCCCGGCATGGGACGATTTGTTGTTCTTGAAAAGTTGATGCACTTGTTTATGATTTTGTGTCATATATACCACCGAAATTTCACCTTTTTTGTTTCTGGGGATGGCAAATCTGGACTTTTGTTACCCCGCGTGTTTTTTGGTAGGTCCTGTCTCATACGCGTTGGTACAGTGGGTGGTCTCGCGACTTGCCGGGTTAAAAAGTTCCTAGATACCAAGTAGGGAAGCCAGCGAGGTACCCGTAGCAACCAAGACCCAGCAAAAAATAGGGGTTCTTTGTTATCGATCCCGACAACCCCATATCTGCCCATACAATCGTTCGATCATCGACCTCGACCCATTCGCTACCCAAATAATTTACGAAGCTACACGAAACCCTTGCCTGCCTCTTCTCGCCTACCTACCATCGAAGCTCTCTGTTCCCCTCCAACGCCCTGTCGACGTCTACCGCGACAAACACTTATTTCTATAGCCGACCTCGACGTTGTTTGTTTCCTGGTTGCCCGCTGTGCTTCCTTATCGCAAGCTCTCCCTCCCACTTTCTAGACCCCACACACAGCGGAGGATCGTCTACAACAGTTCGGGAACCTCAACGACCCGATCTATACCGATACGTCAACCACGTAAACGAACTTCATATATCTACACAACCAACCCCCCGTCTTTTTTTTCCCGATGACGATCGATACCGACTCCGCCGAGGTCCGCAATGCGCAGCGGCGAGAGAAGTTCCACGAGGCCGATGTGGTAATAGTAGGCGCCGGCGTCTTTGGTTGCGCGGCCGCGTATGCGCTTGCCAACCAGGGCCGTAGCGTGATCCTACTCGAGAGATGGATGCATGAGCCCGACCGGATAGTGGGCGAGTTGCTACAGCCCGGAGGTTTACAAGCTTTGCAGAAGCTCGGGCTGGGCCACTGCGTCGAAGGGATCGATGCCATCACCTGCTACGGATACCACGTCGTCTTCCACGGCGAGGAGGTGGCCATTCCTTACCCGGTGGTGGACGACCAAGGAAAGGTGCACTCTGGCGAAGCAGCCGCGCGGGTAGAGTCGACAACATCGAACGGCGGCAAGACAAATAACGGACCTCAGAAGCTACGACGACCCGAAGGCCGATCCTTCCACCACGGCCGCTTCATCAGCCAGCTCCGCAAGGCCTGCGCCAGCCACCCCAACATCACCATCTTCGAAACAACCGTGACCTCGGTCATCCGCGGCTCACACTCCGAACAAGTCCTCGGCGTCGAAACCCTCACCACCGACCGCTCAACCGGCGAAAAACAGCCCGACTTCTTCTTCGGCCAGCTCACCCTCATCGCCGACGGCTACGACTCCAAGTTCCGCAAACAGCTCCTACCCCCCGGCCCCAACACCACCCCCGTCGTCCGCTCCAAGTTCTACGCCCTCGAACTAATCGACTGCCCTTTCCCCCCCTCAAACTACGGGCACGTCGTCATCGGCAAAACCAGTCCCATCTTGCTCTACCAAATCGGCACGCACGAAACCCGCGCCCTCATCGACATTCCACACAACCTCCCCGCCGCCTCCCCCGCCAACGGCGGCGTAAGGGGTTACATCGAAAACACCGTCGTGCCCACCCTCCCGGCCTCCGTCCGCCCCTCCGTCCTCGCCGCTCTCGAAGACGGCAAAATCCCCCGCTCCATGCCCAACTCTTACCTCCCCGCTTCGGGGAAAGCCAACACGGCCCGCACCCCGGGCGTCTTGTTGCTAGGCGACGCGTACAACATGCGCCACCCTTTGACGGGGGGCGGGATGACGGTTGCCTTTTCGGACGTCGTCCTGCTGGCTTCGCTGCTGCACCCAGATCGCGTGCCCAACCTCGCTGACTCCGCCGCTGTCGAAACCGCCATGAAGGAATTCCACTGGCGCCGGAAAGCCTGGACGAGTATCATCAATACCCTGGCGCAGGCGCTGTACAGTTTGTTTGCGGCGGATGATTGGCAGCTTGATGCCCTCAGAAAAGGGTGTTTTGCGTATTTCCAGATGGGTGGCGCAAAGACGGATGAACCCGTGGCGCTGATGGGTGGATTACTGCATGAGCCCGTGGTGCTGGCGAGACACTTCTTTACGGTGGCGTTTGTGGCGATTTGGTTGCATATGTGTGAGAGGGTGGGGAGTGTTTGGGGTTTGTGGAAGGCGCCGTTGGTGTTGGTTGATGCGGTGTTGATTCTTTGGAAAGCTTGTGTGGTATTTTTGCCGACGATTTGGAAGGAGGCTGTTTGAGTTGAGATTGGGGATGGGGAATGGGGGTGTAATGGTTGATGATGATAGGTGCGGAAAGAAGAAATGAAGCGCTTATTAAAGAGCACTACGAAGAAACGGAAAGATCAAAGGGAAAGACGAAGATGAAGGATATGATGAGATTTTAGAAAAAGAAGGATGATGGCCTGCAAAGTGTTTGGACGAACCAAACCCCCTTTTATGGGTACAGGGTCCTGTTGCAGTGTATAGTTAGCTTCTTGAAGATATAGTAGGAATTATCGGGTATAATAATGCTAATGACTGGAAGAAGAACGATGATCTGGATGGTCTGTTGGTGACAACTCAGGAAGCGTTACGCGATGACCGAAGTCAAAGACTTTTCAGAACCTGCCATGACTACAGGGAACGAAGACACTCGATAGCATTTGCAAGGGATAATTCGCAATCTCAATACGTTTGATCTGTTTGAATTGAAGTGACCGCAGGATCTCGTTATCAACAGACACCTGGGCTGGTAAACAGGGTCAGAAAGAGTCCGCTCATGACACTTATGGACCAAAGAAAGATCTCTATGTGTACTTCACTGTAAAAATCCATTCCAAAGACATTGTTGCTTCCCTCCATGCAAATTCCCAATCATTTCCCAAATGTACACCTAACAAATGCATTCAACTCCTAAAGAGATGCTCCAGAGCAAGTACGATTGCGTCCTCCGTATTCGATACGTCGTCCTACACCATATCATAATCCGAATCCGCCCCCACCGTTGAGCTCCCATCATCTGAGTCATCCAGATCTTTCAACCCACCATCTGCATCATCATCTTCAAGCATGAAGTTATCGGTATCTAAATACCCACTATTCTTATTATTACCTCCCGCGTTTCCTCCTGCTGCTGCTGCCCCGCCTCGCCTTGACGAAGAAGACGAAGCACCCCCACTCTCGCTCGTCCCCGGAGTATTAGTATCAGGAGTAGTACCATCCACATACCTAGCCAACGCCCTTCCCGCCGCCTGATGCTCCGCCGGCTGCGTATACATAGCATCCGCATACTCGCCATCTTCCCTAGAAGTAAGGGAGAAACCCTCCTCCGATGATATTTCTGAAGAAGGTACCGCTACGACCCGATGGCGATTCGGTCCCCCGGGGTCTAGGTTAAGTCGTCCAAGGCCACTTCCAAGTCCCGTGCTACTCGTCGTCGTCGTCGTCACTACGCTTTGTTCGACATCCATGCTGGGCACCGTAGCCGTTTCCGTCGCAGTCTGCGCAGTGCGGACACTGATGATTTCGAACCTGTCGAGATGATCGCCAAGCTCGGATACGCCGTAGATCGAACCACCAACTCTGTCGTCGTCGTCGTCGTCCATCATGGTTGTGTTATCACCATCCCCATCACGGGTGCCAGTACCGGTAGTCCTCGTACCCGTAGTCGGGATCGTATACCCCGTATGATACGCCGGTCCGGGTTCACTCGGTCCCATTTCCGCAGGGGGGATGGCAGCCTGAAACACGCCGCCCGACCCATCGTCGAGACCGCCGGCCCAGATAGGCAGGAAATCCATTTCTGGGGAGGTCAGACTGGGGAGGAGTAAGTGGTCCGAGAGGAAAAATTGGAAGGGCTCTTCGTTGTACCCTTTTCCCAAAACGCGGTAGCATAGAGAGGTGAGGGCGGCAAAGACTTCGGTCTCGAATTGGTGGATGTTGAACTCGTTCAGGCGCTTTGTGAAGTGGTTGGACCTACTGGCGGGTTCCGGTTGGAAATCGGGGTGGGGGAGGTTGGCGGATCTCCAGAGAGAGGTATATTTATCGGCGTAAGTTCGGATTGCATAGCCGTTGTAGGTAGAGAGGCTGAAGGGACCGCTGCCGGACGGGTTTGATGTGCTCTGGTTGCGAAGACTCTCCCAGAAGAAAGGCGTGAGGGCGCGCTGGGAGTGGCTAAGGTTTTCGTACAGGTGCCCGAGGGAGTCGCGTTCGTGCTTGGATATGTAATGGTCGCGTTGGGCTGCGGTGAGGGTGGCGAGACGGCCGAGTGGGGCGTTTTCTCGGAGACACCTTTGAATGATATTGTGGAAGGCGCCGACAAGGGCTTGGAGGAGGTTTCCGTGGGCAGTCTTGAGCTCGTCGCTTCCCTGTTCGTGGACGATCGAGGTTTGCTGTTTCAAGAGATCCCATTCCTTGAGACCGGTCCCGATATGGTCGAATACGGTGTTGGAGCGAAGCATCTCGAGCAGGCCGGTGATCCGTTCAAAAAAGGCGTGACTGGCATATTCAACGGGGTCCGATGGTAAGTCGCCGTAGTCGTCTCTTCTTCGTTGGGCCCAGGTAAGGGCCGGACGTTTCGGCGAGGGGTCCGGCGCCGCATAGTCGACGGCTAGTTCACTCACGAGGATCCTGAAGGCGGCGATGAGAACACTGGGGATCTTAAGAGCAAGCGCGAGCTGGAAGGATCTCTCGGGGCAGATTTCAACGAATTTCGTGTTGGGCGGGGCGATCAGCCACTGTGTCACCGGATCAACCTAGACGGCGATGAGTCAGTATGGTTTCCTGCCATCAGAACGGAGCAATTAGGCATGAGGTAATTACTCACAACTACCTGGGGTATCTCCAGGTGTATTGCCACTTGAGCGACTGTCCACATGCGTGCAGCTGAGTTGAGAAGAAGACCGTTCCCGTTGATAGCATGAAGCACCCTCATGATTGCAACTCGGTGCCGTATTCCGCAGTAGTCTGGGATCCTTCGGAACGTGGGAAAATAATTAGAATGTTCTTCGGCCTCCGGGTCCACGTCAACGATACCAGGGACATCCTTTGGTTTCCATTCGGATCTGTCCATGGAGCCTGCAAAGTAGTTTGTGAGACTTTGATCTAGATATAAAGTGTAAGGGGGCCTGGACTCACAGAATTGCAGGAGACTCCTGCATGCATCATCATGGCCAAGGGCAAGCATGGCAGCTACCGACCTGCTAGCAAGGGGTCTCTTATCCCAGATGCTCATCAGGTGTCCACTCTCCAGAATTTCCTCTGGGCAATAATGTCCGGCCAAAAACCATAGCTTGACCATCTTTGGAAGCCAAAGGGCAGCAGTGAGGTCGGCCAGCTCTGAGCCCTCAGTTGGGGGTGTGAAGTCGAGCACGTAGTCGATCCCAGGAGGTAATGTTTCCATTCCTAGTTGGCGGCGCATGCGTTCCTGGCGTCTGGGGTCGAACATGGCGTTGAGTTTGCTTGAATTGAGACCGACAAGTGTTGGGAAGCTCATTCTGAGCCACAGTGTCTGCCATCTACTCCCATTGCAAGCAATGGCGTCTGAGTTCTTTGGAAAGGTAACAACCGCAAGAACATTGCCCTCTCCATCCTCTGTCGTTCTGCTCATGAGAAGGTTCAACTCGTTAAAGTGATTATTAATAGCATGTTCGACGGACAATTCGAGAGGGGAGGGTGATGGAGGCCGGTCAAGGGCGGCGGGTTCTGAAGGCCACTCCATGATGGCGAACTGACGGTGAACAGGGTAGATGTTGGATGAATTAAGCAAAAGATGCTAAGCTGGCAAAGAGCAAAGGACGGCGGGATGGAGAGTGAGCTGTTGGAACAGGCCACAACCGAAAAAGAACGAGAGAGGTCAAGTTAACGTATGCGCGAGGTAGATGAGACAGAGCTTATCTGAACCTCAAGGCTTCGGTGTGAAGGAAGTCGAAGAAGAAGAGTTGACGTAGAGGAATGAGAGTGGTAGAGGTAGGCAGCTGCCTGCGGGGTTGTCTGGCACAGCAGCGAGTGACAGCTTAAATAGATGAACTGGGTGTCAGCCTCAAGCGAAGAGCGTATCAAAGAAGAGGGACGGGAAAGTGGTGAGTTGGTGAAACCATGGAGAGCTTGGGCATACGAAGCCACCAACCTCTCCCCTTGTCCGCAAGAGGCCCCGTTGCCTGCTGCTTGAATGAGTCCTGTCAGCTTCATTCAAGCAATGGAAGAATATTACTGGTTGCCTGATGTTGCCTGCATAAAGGCAGACGGCGAACCAGGCCTCATTGCTGGTGTGGAGGAGCAGGCAGCCATAAGCCAAAGGGATTGATTGTTGGAACCAAGCAAAATTTGATATCAAAGACCGACATTGGCTTCCCGTCTGTATTTGCAGTTTGGAAACACTCACGTCTATCGCCATCACTGCCCACGTCAAGAGGCATAGGCATCCTCTATAACCCCTGTTGACAGCCCTACAGAATCATCATACCCCACGGTGTGGACATAAGAAAGAATCCACAAACCACGCCCAACATCGATATCGATCAACTCCATTCCACTTCTGAACGTTAAGCTTGCTTGAAGTACATATGCAACTGTATCGGCATATCCTCTTCGGCCCATCTCCGAATGCCATTCGCCCGCCTTACAACTGTCAGGACGAACCTCGGAACGGGCCAAGCAGGTCCCGGAGAAACACCCCGCACTTTGCGCCGGCTTTAGCTCCTTCTCTAGCTCCAAATCTTCCCCCAACGTTCCAGGCGTTTCAGACCCTTTAAACCGACGATGACCAGGGGCCTCGGTGTGATCAGCCGATCTTGCAGAGATGGTTCTCAAGTCTAGGCCTCAACTCTTTCCATGATTTGATCCCAAACGTTGAGGCGTCAAGGCGTCAACCGTTCAGCGCCTCCGCATCTTCCACCATCTGAACAACTCCGATGAGCTAACTAAAGCTTGATCAAGGTCCAAGTGTCCGGTGCATGATGTCTGTCGGGATGTGTCGCGTGCCCATTGCCCTCCCCGCCTCCCCGCGCGAACGGTCCATTAGACCCCGGCCCGCACCCATGGCCCGCGACGTCAGTCCATTTTCGGTTCATCGTATGAGATCGCATATCTCCGAGAGTCGTTCAAAACATTGATAAAGCGAGGCGGCAAAGATCGTTCGACCACATTGGATAGGAACTACAATACTACAACAGAAATACGAAACCACCAAGTCCAACATTTAACTCGGAGAGAAATTTGTACTTGAAATTGGTAGCCGAACTATCACCTACCCATTTGAACAGAAACACAAGACTCCTACCTAAGACCTAAGACATACTAGACCACCACCCTTGCCTGGTCTGGTCTAGATAACCATTTGTTTACATTTTCGAACTATTGGATATCTCACCGCCTGCCTAGCAGGCCTAGCTACAGCATACTAGTCCTCTTTGCTTCCTCCACCACCTACCTACCTTCATCAGTCTGGGTTGCTTCCTCCGTCCCTTGATTGCTTCCTACCCTAGGTAACAAACTATAAAAGCAAACCTTGGTCCCCCATCTCTAAACATCTCTATTCACCCTACGAGCCAAACCAAAATAAACCAAACACCTACAAAACTCAAAACAAACAATGTTCCCCTCTCCCGCTTCCCGCATCGCCCTCAGCACCGGCGGCGTTCCTTCCGGAACCTCTTCCTCCAACCCGCGACTATTTGTGTAAGTTCACTATCTCATCATGCATTCCCTTCCTCCATGAAGAAGAACATCACGACGACCACCAAGTCAAGACCCAGCCCGGTTCGGGTATCTCTCCAATTTTTTCCTCCCGTTTCTCATCCATCCATCCATCCATCCATCCTCTTCCTCTTTTCTCTCTCTCTCTCCTCCTCGCAATCCTACCCCAAACCTACCTTACCTAGCACTCTATATCGTTCACACCACTCACCTTCCACCTAACTTACACACGCTTCCTAGCCGCCACCCCCGCCTAGCCTTCTTCACCTTCGCCCTCGCCGGCGTAGGCGCCACCTTCAAGTACGTGTCGACGACGATCCGCAACAACGAGGTGGCGCAGAAGAGCTCGCCTGGTTCGCAGTTTTATGTCAGCGTCGATAGGAGTGGTGGGGGGATTTGATATGTCTGACCTGGGGGAGAGGAATGGAGGAGGGGATGGGGTGTTGTGGTTGGATGAGTCAATGATGAACTACGAATAATGAAACGACATGAACGAATTGATGGGTGCGAGATATAAGATTTTTTGGATGGGATTGTAATGATTGATATCAAGGGCGGGTAGCCAGCCGGGCCTGCAAATTTCGAAACGGGATTGTATGAGAAGAGGCACAAGTTGAGCGTATTTTTGGATCAGTAGTCATTTTGTCAAGACAACAAGAATGACAACGGCAGAGGTTTGAAGATAGTCAGGTAATAAGCACCTCAATCTTGATTTGTGAAAAGCAACGATATATGACAAAGACCTCAAACTGCACGAAGATGCTAAGCACATGCATGTCAACCGTGCAATAATGATCAACCAACATGCCCTTCATAGTAATCTCAATTTCAACGCCTTCCCAATGCAACGACTACCTTCAACCAGCGCGTAGGTAGTATGACTAAAATGCCAACCCATCGGAAAAACCCCATATGAGAGTGAAGAGACGAAACAAATAACTACCAATACTCAGACATGCATGCAAAGTTATGCAGGATATCAATCAACCACTCACTCCCTTCCTTCCCTTAAACCGTCCTGCCCTTTCCTTCCTTCCTTCCTTCCTTCCGACTTGAGAAGTCGAGAAACCCATTCTTTCAGAGAAAATTTCCGCTCCTGATAAACTCTGCCTGGTTATGATGGCGCTCATCCAGTGAACTACCACCACCAACCTGATGACCGCGACGATCTTCGTCCTCCTCCGCATCTGACATCGAAGCTGCTGCTGCTCCAATAACAGCTTTTCCCTTTCCTTTACTCCTCCGATCATGCCTCGGCTCGAATATCTCGCTTCTCGAATAGTTGCTGGTATCTTCCTCGTTTTCTTCTCTCGAATTCCTCCTCCTGACTGTGTCTTGCCCACTCAAAGTCGGCATTCTCGTAGCAGTCTCCAACCTCCTGACTGATCTTCGTAACCCCCGATTCGCCATATCCCTGTTTGTTGAGCCAGCCGAACTAGCCGAGCTGGACAATCTGGACGACCTTCTCTCTTCTCCTGACCCCCGCCTTGCTGGGGTGCTGTACTGCTGCTGTTGCTGTTGTATCGCTTTCTTGGCCAAGTAGCTACCGGTACTTGCCCCTTCGTCTGCGGAATTTCCAGCCGTGTTGGGTGCCGTGCTCCTCAAGACTCGCATCTCGCGCACCACGTCGCCAAGACTATCCTGCAGGTTCTTGATCTTTGCCAACATCAGCTTGTTCATCCGGTTGCTATCCTGCTCTTGCTGGGAGCTCTTCTCGAGCATGGCCGTGGCCAGCTTAGTGAAATTGGAAATCACGCCATTGCCCGCTTCAGAACCAGCTGCCAGGGCGGATGGGTCAAATTCAGCGGAGGTGGGCAGCTCGGCTGATGACTTTCGTCGGGATGACGGGCTGTCACGGTTTCCACTACCGCTATCTGGGATTTCCAATGCCAAAGCCGAGCTAATATTCGGCGCGGTTCGGGTCATGGCTCGTGGCGACATCACCATGCTCTGTGGACGGGAGGATGCCAAGTATAAGGAGCGACGCGGAGAGCGAAGACCTGCGCCTGGACTAGCTACCGACCCTTCGGGTATGGCATGCCGAGTGCTGTGGGGACGAGACCGAGATGGTAACGACGGGTCCATCGATGCGGAAGAAGAACTCTCGAGGGGCCGGTCCTGCGCAGGAGCAAAGATCATCGTGTTGTTCGACATGGTACGGTTGTGCATGGGTAGTCGTCGCCACGTTCCGGGACGGGGGGAAATCGGCGTTCTCTGCACTGATGTGAGTCCGGAATTGAAGCGCGACGGAACCGAAGTCGTGAAGTAGTCCTCTTCTGTCTCGGTCGACTGGTCTTGATCCATATAGTTTCGTACCTGCTCGGTGTCGTGAGTTGCATTGTCCTCCTCATACTCATCATTTGTAACAAGCTCATCGTCACCGTTTTCCGCATCGGTGTTCTCTTTCACCTCGTTCGCAAAATCCCGTCGAGCAGTGCCGTTGTTGAAATATTCAGGGGCCGCCGGAAAGGTCGCATTAGATACCATATCAGCCGGATCGCTTGCTGCTGATCTCGTGTCTGGATAATGTCCTGAAAACCTCTTTGGTCGCTCCCTCACCATGCTCAGTCTCCTCTGCCAATCCTGTGCCGGTCTATTGTCAACGGTACCGTAGTTGTGAGGAGACGCAAACGTCCCATCTTGTTGGTCCATCCACGATCGGATGGCATTTTGGTTCTTCCTACGCTCGTTCCGTCGTTGAGTCCGTATGGTTGCAAAATCAGGAGCACGTCGGAACACCTCTTCCAAGGCACGATCCTTCTGGTAACCCACCAACGATTCTTCACGAATTCGAAGGCTCGGGCTAAAGAGCGCTGTCCTGCTTGCGGGGTCTACAATGGAAACCGCTCTGTGGCGGCCGCGGCCTGGATATTCCACCAAGTCCGTCGGCTCGTACATAGAGGGGGCCAAAATAAACCTTTCATAGATAAAAATGATGAGCAACAAGGGGAAGTGAGTCGCTTTGATGACGGTGCGATTGAGCCAAACAAACTGCCTCATGGGCATGAAAAATCTTAGCGGGGTCAGTGCCCATGCGAGAATGTTGACTGGCGCGACGTATGAAAAGAGTGAGTCGTTTTTCACCATGGAGATCGTGTTGATAGCAAAGAGAAACCTGTGCTAATTAGCAAAAGACCTAGTGGGAATACAGTGGCATTCAACAGTGACCTACTGGTGCTCCTGCTTTGCGTTTGATGCAATAGCCATGAACGAGGTTGTTAGCACAGTCACAAGCAGGGTCCTAAAAGAAGGTCAGCCATTGCACACACCGGAGCTTTGATCATCTCAACTTACACAATCACAAAGTGGCAGATGATGAGAAACAAGCCAAGTAACGTCTTCCCCATCCAGTTATGATCCGGCCATACTTCCCAGGCGGCCGGACTATAACCCACGAGCATCTGGAACATGCTGTAAGCCACTACACTCGGATCGTCCGTGCTCTTGGAGATAAAGAATACCGAGAAGCCGCAGCAGACTACAACGACCAAAACGAAAACCGCAAATAGATCAACAGCCATGAGCCTAAATGCTATCAGCAACTGTGAAAAGTACTGGTAATGGTCCAGGATACTGAAGATCCTGGGGAGCAAAAGGATGGCGATTGCAGCGAGGACATCATAGGCATTGTCGTTCAACTTGTGCGGATCGAGAAGAAATACGCCGTAGATGCGCATACAGTAGTAGATGATCAACAGCAACAATATGCCCAAGTCGAAAATGTTCCAGAAGCTCATGATGTAGAGCGAGAATCCGTTCTCGTTGAAGCCGACAATCTCATCGAGCATAAACCCAGCACTCCAGAACCAGAAGATCAACTCCAGTGTGGTGATTGTGCTGGATCTCTCATTGAGAACGGCCAAGAACAGGCAAAGAAGAACACCAAGTGAGCAGGTAGATAGGAACTGGCGATAGCGCGGGACCCTCAGCCGCGAAAGCTTGAAAACCGAGGCTTGACGAGGGTCGTACAGCGCGACAGATCTTCGTCCCAGCGGCCATGATTGGCCCCCTAGACGATCCTCCTTGCCTTGCTGACTACCAAGGAGCGGTGTTCGTACCGTACTTTGGCGACGAGACTGGGTTGAAGATAGGTCGGTAGCTATCGATGTGCGACGATGTAGCTGATCTGCGGCAGAGTAAAAGCTGATGGCACCATTCCAGATGGCCTCGAGTTGTTGTACGACCAAAGGATGGGACAGAAAATGTTTTGCCGAGGCTCGTATGGCGACTTCGAGGGTTGATGTTCTCATGGCGGCCGGCTTCTCTCTGTTATTCGAATTGGCCGGCGTGTGCATTCCCGAGACGCCCTGCAGAGGATAGAAGTCGTAGGAAAGGGCATCGATAAGTTCGCGAGTCGAGTATTCCTTGAGTAGCTTGATGGCTAGCAACTCACAGACCTTGGCTCGTGTGCTGCTGCTGCCGGTGTTTGCCGGATATATCTGAGACTCCTTTTCGAACTGGAGACAATTTGCCATGAGGGCATATAGAGTTCCCCTTGAGAAATGCTGGGATCGGATCTGTTGTTGCATTGGCTTGACCAGAAACTGGAATACCTGGGGAGACCTCAACTGCTCCCAAGTCAAGGTCGTATCGGTTCTTGCTTGAACAATGATGCGGATAGCATGCGTCATGCTATAAATTGGGAGAGAGTCTAGAGGTTTGTACGGGATTAGCCTTGGCACATGGTCTTTGGTGTATATGGAGCAACAGAAGGTATCATACCAAGGTGCCCAGCAGAGAAGAGCGGCAGGACACCAATTGCCTGATTCAGACCATCTTCATCCTCATTGCCTCGGTTGGAAGCGTTCCGGCGTGGTTGCCTCGCATCGTCGGACTCGTCGTCATCGTCGGCCTCGGTGAAGTCGGCGGTCGCGTGTCGATGTTGGGTATAACTCCGGACAGAAGCAGGACGTCGTAGCGGTTCCGAGTTTCTCTCAAGTAGATCGCCGTCGTCTGGGTTGCGCGCAGCACCCTTGAAGGGTCGCATCAAGGTGGACAGCATGCTTTCTCCTGGCCGCAACGGGTCTCGATGGCCCCCGACTCAAGTTCTTGTGGACGTTTAAAGCGCCATGGATGCGGTCAGAATCGCAAGACCGCGGGCCACTGGTGAGGTATAGTAAGGGGACGGAGGCGAGAAGGTTGGAGTAGGTTGATGTTTGCGACTTGCGAGAGGGGCGAACAAGACAAGGCAAGGAATAGAGACAAGGGGTTGGTAGTCAGTGAGGCAGGGCTGGCAGGGGACCGAACGTAGTCCTGGTATAATGTTTGAGGCCGGCCGAGGCGACACCCTGGTTACCGCAGTGGAATAACAGCGGGAGAGGATGCGAAGCTGGGAAATCCGGGGAGCCGGACTTAGACGTAGAGTCAAGATAAGTAAGTCGGGCTCCGGGAGGCAGAGTCGGGGCCTCGAGGGTAGGCACGTCGCTGGACGGGCGTCGATGATGAGATGAGGTGGTGCAGAAAAGAAATGGCTGTACGCCGGTTACACGGCGGCGGCAACAGTCCAGGAGCCAACAGGTCCAAGAACAAGAAGTGAACAGGAAGACGGGAAGAAAGAAACGAAGGAAGAAGGTGCAAGTTAGCTCAGGTCGTCCCGTCGTTTCGTCTCAAGTGACAAGACAACTCTTGGAGGCCAAGCCCGTCCGGTTTCCCCAATCCAGCAAAGTGGCAGGTACCAAGCGTGTATCATGGAGACTGTAACTTTCAACCTTTCGTCTTGTCTCGAGTTTAGTTTCCACTTCTGCGCCTCGACTACCGCGGGACTACCGTGAGCCGTGACCATTCCCGTCCTTGTATTGTACCCGATGTAAGTGAGTGGTCCTTCTTTCTTGGCCAACTTTTAGGTTTTTGCTCCGAGACCTGACAACACCATGGACGGGGCTGCTGCACGACAAATGACGCGCGTGAAGCGCAACAGCACCTGACACCATCGCAGTGAGCTCGAAAGAGGGGAACAACCGTGAGATGTGTCGGAAGATCTTTAGTGTCAAACACGGGCTTCGTCTTGTAACCATGAATGGATGATAAGAAAGGTGTGCGGAGTTTTGGGACTGACGAAATCCTGGGAATGCGGTGAGCAGCGAGATGGCAGAGGCCGCAGTGCACACAAGAGAGTCTGAGAAACATTGGGGCTGACCGGGGGCCCTTGCTCTATCAGCACCTTCCCACGCGCCTCTGGCCAATCACGCGAGCCTGGTCCCCCCAAGCCGCCCAGACCAAGCTTGACGAATGGAACCTCAAAAGTTGCTGGGTTTCAAATTCCCCATCATTTCCACTTTGCACTCTTCCTCCTCAAAATCGCAGGAGAGGAGGCTCATTGCTTTTGCCTTTCATAAGTATCCTTGAGGTTATCATCTCTCACAGTCCCTCTCTCGCTCTCCCCTTTCTCTCGTCTCTCCATTGCACCAGGGCCTCCCCTCCCGTCAAAGGCCTCAACGGAACGCGGCCGATTTCACATGGGCAGCCGATCTAATGAGGCCACCCAGCAAGTGCTGCATTTGCCTCTTTTGTCTTTCCTTCGTGTGCACCTGGGACAAGCCCCCATTCCATCTTCCACGAATCGTATCCAGAACATGGTCGCTGCCAAGCACAGCCTGCCGACGTACTGCGTTCATGGAGGCTGAGAAAGTGCCAGTCAAGGCCTCGAGGGCGGTCAGGGTGATTCAAAGCCATGAGACAGCCTGACCCTCTCTCTTGTGCGAGCTGTCTTACATATCTCATGGAATGTTCGCATACCTACCTACTGAGCTATTATTACCAGGAAGCCGTCCGTTGAGCTCTTGAGATTGACAGTTGACACTAGCGACTGCATGTATGGACGTTCAAATACATATGTATATCGTCGATATTTTATGTCGCCATCAACGCAGGGTCCTGGTGGTGACACATGACCAAAGATGCGTCCCGATGCGACGGCGATAGGAGACCGGTCGATAGTAGTCGTCTCGCCAGTCCGGGTGGGTCCGCCGTCGATGGTTGATGGGTTGAGATGTGATGGAGGGTTGCAACAAGTCGTTCGATTCGGTCACAAGCCGCATCCACCACGACGGACACTTGCATCCTTTAAACGACTCATTCACATTGGACGAGGCGATACGGCAAGCCCAAAACATTTCTTGCTTCACCATTTGCTCTCATCAGAAGTTATAAAACACTATTGACCTTCAATGAGCAATGAGGCATCCTATCATGCTAAAGAATCGGATATAAATCTCAGGCTTTCGCGCCATTGAAAACTTGTAAGAGGCATCCTACGTGCCGACCTCCTCAGCTGTCCCCAACCGTCTCAGCTACGCATCTCGAAGCAAATTCGGAGAAAGGTTTACGTTGGACATGGGCAGGTAGGGTTACGACCGTCATCAACGATCCTGGGTACTTTGATACGGAACACACAACAGCTGTATGACCTGTGACACCCTCTACGAATCTCTGCGGCCAGCTGACGATCTCGAGGCTGCAAACATCGCTGACTGTGGTGGTGCGGAACGCCTTGAAGCGGCGTCATCTCCCGTTACGGCTACTGCACCTGCTCGGTGCGGTTGCTCTTCCTATCACATTGACCAGTGTTTGTCTAATTCTGTACTACGGTCCAAGGAACCACCACAGCAGTTGACAGCCTGGTGGGCAATTGCTAGGTTTTCGATCGGTAAAGCACCAGCCGTACGTTACATTCTTGTATCGCTGGAAGTATACGGACCCTAACCCAGCGGTATGAGATAAGAGTCCGGACCTCATACTTGTAAGAGCTTACAAACGTAAGCTAACCGGGTCCTTGCCCGGCGAAAATAGGACCCACTCCGAGCCGATGACCCACTTTCCCCGGCGGACTTTCCGGTGGTGGTTCATGCAGCGAGATGATGGCACCGGCCAAAACCCGTATAAACCGAGCATGCTTGGAGCGGAACTTGATCCTTGGAATTCCGCACTCTCGCAAATCCTTTGGCATATGACTCGGAGACTGACTCCATCAACCTAGTTTCCCATATGTTTTCCTCACAGTGTACGTCCCGTTATATCGTAAACACAGAGGTATATGAAGCTCTCAAGTTTTGATATACAGTAAGCACCTCACATCAACATGCACTGCGTGGGTTATGATGAGCGCCGCCGCGAGAGACTTCGGCAGGTAATGGGACGGCTGAGATCGGTTTTTTTGGTTTCGATCACCGGACCCGAAGTGAACGATGACTCTACCGAGCCCCAAAGAGCAAGAAGCGATACCGCTGCTCCATGAACCCCACAGATGGCTGGTTGACATACGTAAGAGGAAAAACTCACTTCGATCAACAGAAGCCCACCTTGTGCCCAATCACGATTTTGGCGAGGACGACCAGATGCATACGTACGGCAAACAAAAAAATGGTCTCTTCTAATACCGAAATTTTGGGGAGCATGTCGAAGTCGAACATCGGCTGGTAATTTTGTGACGACATGCTGCAAATCTGCCGGTGCTCTCCTGCCGTCACGGGCCTAACGGCATCGGATCAGCCCTAACAATGATGGCAGCGACGTGTCTCACGAGGCAAAATGCACCGAAGGCGGCCGATCGGCAGTGACGGAATAGGGACGGTGAAAATGCCGACACACGACACAAGACGGACGGGCCCCGGAATTGGTGACAGGAGACAGCATTTGTTGACAACTTGACATGGTTCAGGGGCCGATTTTTTGTGGTGATGCAAGGCCGTGCACGGTCCAGAACCTTAGGTAAGAAGACCCCACCCACTTTTTTTCGCCCGTAATATGATTGGTCATTGGCTGTGAGTCTAGACGAACTGGGCAAGCTCGAATCATCCCGTCCGGGGACCCCTCCACGGTGGTCGTCCAGTGTCCAGGGGACCCCCGTTGCCCCGCGCTAAAAGCTTGCCTGCCGGATATGTCGCGGTCCAGCGGCGCTGCGGCGCTGCCGGCCGGGGCCCTGCCAACTCTCGCGCTGGACCTGCCCCTCCAGGTTCTCACGAGTCACCGAAGACGGCATTGGACAATGGCGTGAATGCAGAAAACTTTTCTGAATCCCACCCACCCAGGCTGTCCCCAACCCTATTACGGGTACAGAGTGGCGGGCTGACGGCCTGGTGGGGCTCCTCGAGGCTGCCGAAACAAAAAAATATTTACCCCGTGGCCGAGTCCTGGGATCCTTTCTCTTCCCTTTCCTCTCCTCTCCTCTCTCTCTTCCTCTTGCTATCAAGCAGAGGCCATATCGAGCTTGGATAGTGAGGATATCGAGCTGAAACATACACACCAACATCATTTTGCCTTCGTTTCTCGCTCTCGCCCCCCGACGAAAACGAATCAGCTCCTGAGCTCTTCTTGACGAAGCTCTCACCATCTTTGACGTCCTCTCAACAACCGTCTTCCATTCTCGATTTTGCGCCGCTTTTTCACTATTTTCTTTTCCACTATACCCCTCTCAAAATAGTCGTTTCTCTCTCTTTTGTTTTTATACTCTAAAAGTTCACCTATTTCCACCATGGCCGCTACCGTCTACCGCCCTGCCACGGCCCCCATCGCCGATGCGCCCTGCGAAGGCCTCGTTTGCCTTGAGCTTGAGGATGGCACCGCCTACCAAGGCTACAGCTTTGGTGCGCCCAAGAGCATTGCCGGTGAGCTTGTCTTCCAGACCGGCATGGTCGGCTACCCCGAGTCCGTGACCGATCCCTCGTACCGCGGTCAGATTCTCGTCATTACTTTCCCTCTTGTTGGAAACTATGGCGTCCCCTCGCGGGAAACCATGGATGATCTCCTCAAAGATCTCCCCGCCCACTTCGAGTCCAACCAGATTCACATTGCCGGTCTCGTTACCGCTTCGTATGCCGGTGAAGACTTCTCGCACTTCCTCGCCACCTCCTCCCTCGGAACATGGCTCAAGGAGCAGGGCATCCCTGCCATGTATGGTGTTGATACCCGCGCCCTCACCAAGCGCATTCGCGAGAAGGGTAGCATGCTTGGCCGCATGCTTCTCCAGAAGGAAGGCTTGACTGTCAGCGCTCCTTCTCTCGGAGT